ATTTTTATTAAATCATACGCGGACGAAGTAGCGGGCACAGCTAGCAGTATTTCGAACAACTCCTAACCTAAAAACGCACCAATAAAATATCCACTTTATTCACGTCCCAAATGATCAATTTCCCAATTTTCTATACGCTTATGTCGACTTCTTCACTTCCCAGAGTGGCCAATTATAACATTGTCTGATGACAGTCGATTACGTCTAAGTTTACTAGCTAAATTTCGCCGGAATCAGCAAAAACAATTGACCGCCGCATTACGGTGCGCCCACGTAATCAATCGACAATTAAAACTTTAAAACTAGTCAAAGTGGATAACGCAATTTTGTAATATCAAACATGCGTGTTCTATGACACAGCTGCGGCGGGTTATTGATGTAATTTCAAAAAATACCTTTGTAATTACTCAAGCGACTCTATGTTGCGTTGCCATCGGGAAGCGTTATTGGCTTTAAATGTGGCGATCTTTTTGTTTAACTTTTTTAACGCGAACCGTCGATATATCGATCCTCTATTACATACTTTTACTAGTGGTAGGGCCTCTTGTGCGTCCGCGCGGGTAGGTACCACCATCGTGCCTATTTCTGCCGTGAAGCAGTAATGCGTTTTGGTTCGAAGGGTGGGGCAGCCGCTGTAACTATACTTGAGACCTTAGAACATATATCTCAAGGTGTATTTACGTTGTAGATGTCTATGGGCTCCAGTAACCACTTAACACACGGGCTGTGAGCTCGTTCACCCATCTAAGCAATAAAAAAAAAAAAAAGTTCCATTAGAGAAATAGATCGTACCGTGTTTTGTTTTTTGCTGATATGGGTAGAGTAGCTTACTTTCCACCTGGTTTCTTCGGAGCTCATGGACATCAACACTGGTAAGCACAGCCAGCTACCTCGAGAGGCGGGTTCTGAGTCACGTCAGCGCGCATCCCAGGGTCGTTTTCGAAAACACTTTCACTCTTTGAAACGCTAGTTATCAGTTCGGCTAGCTGTCCCGACAGCAAAACAAGCAAATTAATGGTAATTAAATTCGAGTTTCGATGTTGTAATGATAAGGTTTATTGCGCGATATAGTCTGATAGGTTCTGAGCTGGTTTTTCTTGTGTTGACCAACTGCGAAGCGAAGCGTTCACGTGTCTGGTGGGTGGGACTTCGGAAAATTAACAGCAGTCGAGCTGCAGGCTTCTCTAGATCTAGAGTTAGGCGTTCCCAAACTTATTTTGTCTCCTACCCACTTTGAGAATAAATTACTTTTTAGCGCCCCCATTTTTTCACCTACTTAAAAACCACTATAGCGAGAGTTCGGTCGGTGTCTAAGAGTTTTTATTTATTGCTTAGATGGGTGGACGAGCTCACGGCCCGTGTGTTAAGTCGTTACTGGAGCCCATAGACATCTACAACGTAAATGCGCCACCCACCTTGAGATATAAGTTCTAAGGTCTCAGTATAGTTACAACGGCTGCCCCACCCTTCAAAACGAAACGCATTACTGCTACACGGCAGAAATAGGCAGGGTGGTGGTACCTACCCGCGCGGACTCATAAGAGGTCCTACCACCAGTAACTACGCAAACTATAATTTTGCGGGTTTTATTTTTATTACACGATGTTATTCCTTCACCGTGTAAGTCAATCATGAACATTTGTTGAGTACGTATTTCATTAGAAAAATTGGTACCCGCCTGCGGGATTCGAACACCGGTGCATCGCTCAACACGAATGCACCGGACGTCTTTATCCTTTAAGCCACGACGACTTCAAAAGAAAGAAGAAAGAAGGAAAAAAAGAAGTCCTCTTAGTTTAAATTACGAATGGTTTCCCAAGCCTCTAACACAACGCCCGCATTTTTTTCTGAGTCTCTTACCGTCCCTCTTTAGGCCTGCAGCACCCACAAAGGTGCCTTATCGCACACTTTGGGAAAGGCTGCGTAGAGCGATGAAGATATTTTCTTCAGTGCATGGCCAGGAAGCGTAATGCCCCCATTTTGAGATGTGGGGTCGGGAACCCCCATTAATTATCCTGTTCAACAGCTGTTTCCACATTTAAATAAGATATTAAGGCTTCGCGACTTTTTTGTCTACCTCTGCTGAGAGGTAGAAAAAAAAACGTAGCCTTGAGAGGCTATTTCAGCTTCGCCTTGACGTATAGGTGAGGTCACGAGGCTCAAACCGGAAGCGTTGCTAACACTCGCCCTAGCAAGCGCAGTGCTTCGCAGAATCTACCACCGGATCGGAAACGCGACCCACTGAGAAGATCCAGCGAGAAACTCAGTGGGCTGTGTCTATGGGTTAATCGCGGCTGAAACGGGCTCTGCGCTAACCGAAGCTTTAATTTGAAACCCATTGACCTCAAGACGTCTGATCAGCTTGAAAATTTACACGCGCGTCGAAATGACGATCCGATAATTATATGATTTTTGTGGATATAACCAATAAGTTTCGCGGCAGGATAAATAAAAGAAGATGGATTTTAATATTGTTACTTCTGTTTTTTTCTTCGATTTAAAAATATATTCTGTTTTAATACGTTGACTGGTATGCAGGTCATCGGTGACCTACGCGACGCACTGAAGTAATTATGTCGATTTCTCACTTCGATCATCTTACTAAGGCGCCAGAATGACGAATCCGAAGACACTGTGACTGAATCTATTTTTAGAGATCTAAGACTTTCTAGATCGTCGTGGCCTAAAGGATAAGACGTCCGGTGCATTAATATTTAGTAATGCACCGGTGTTCGAATCCCGCAGGCGGGTACCAATTTTTCTAATGAAATATAAATACGTACGTAAAAAATATTCACGATTGACTTCCACGGTGAAGGAATAACATCGTGTAATAAAAATCAAACCCGCAAAATTATAATTTGCGTAATTACTGGTGGTAGGACCTCTTGTGAGTCCGCACGGGTAGGTACCACCATCTCGCCTATTTCTGCCGTGAAGCAGTAATGCGTTTCGGTTTGAAGGGTGGGGCAGCCGTTGTAACTATACGGAGACCTTATACCTCATATCTTAAAGTGGGTGGCTGCATTTACGTTGTAGATGTCTATGGACTCCTGTAACCACTTAAAACCAGGTGGGCTGTGAGCTCATCTACTCATATAAGCAAAAACTTATTTCTGTGTGCGAATTTCCCGCTAATATGAGAGTAAATAACAAAGCAACATGTCATTCAGTGACGTCACGCCATGAAGCCAGCGACTGACTGCGACACGCCGTGGCGAAATCCAGTTCAAGGCTAGTTTCGTGTCCCGGCATTGCCTCACCCTCGCGCGAGCAACGATTAGGCGTTAACGCGTTGAAATTTTACAATATTACTGATCTAGGAGTTGCGCTTTTTTATGATTGCTTAGACAGGTGGACGAGCTCACGGCCCACCTGGTGTTAAATGGGTACCGGAACCCATAGACATCTACAACGTAAATGCCACCACCCACCTTGAGAGATGAGATGTAAGGTCTCAGTATAGTTACAACGGCTGCCCCACCCTTAAAACCGAAACGCATTACTGCTTCACGGCAGAGATAGACAGGGTGATGGTACCTACCCGTGCGGGAGTCCGGCTTACTGGTAGGACCACTGGTAGGTAGGACACGGTAGGACCTCTTATGAGTATAAGAGCTCCTACCATCAGTAAGCCGTTGTTGACTCATAGCGGGAATCCGCCCGAGAGACTCATGTTTTTTGAGGCTTAAGGGTCTTACAATTTGACTACGATCGAGACAGCGCTCTGAACGCAATAATTATCTCATTCAAACCCACTGAGTTTCTCGCCGGATTTTCTCAGTGGACCGCGTTTCCGATCCGGTGGTAGATTCTGCGAAGCACTGCTCTTGCTAGGGCCAGTGTCAAGAAATTTATATTTTTGATATGTATGTACAAATAAGCGACGTTCGTGCCGTAATTTGACCGGTTTTGTCTACTTTAATAATAACAATAGTTGCATAAACCGTTTTAATTCATTAGGATCCCTTAAAACTACATATTATAATAATGACTACGGGTTCACCGGTAGCCGAGATTCGACTATAATTAATTGAAATTATAAATTTGAACATTATTATGGTTCTATTGTCAAAGACTAATATACTTCTGTAATCACAGATTTCCCGAAGATTACACTTTAGACAAATATTAATACAGACAAATAATATTTAAACTATTCTCAATTTGACCAAAGACTTTAAACAATAAGAAAAGTTTGACAATAAACAAATAGTGTGCATGCGTGTGTGTGTGAAATACATGGCAGTGTGTGTAATGTTTTTTATTAAATGATATTTTAATGTATTTTTTATGCATAATTTAAAAATATCTTAGCATTCTGCTCTCCTTATCTATAGGTATTCTATATAAGTGTGGGAAATTTCATACTCATCAGTCCGCGCAATTTTCATAAAAAGGGGTATAAAAGTTTTTTCTTCACGTATTAATATATGGATAGTAGCTGGGACAAAATCACGCACGGTCATCCGGCCCCAAAATTAGAATAGGAAATTATGATGTTATGGGCACCAGAGACTGACATACATACTCAAATACATTTAAATGTATACATGTCGGAGACGTTCATTAGTTTGGTAGCTAAGCGAAACGCAGCATGATTCCCGAGAGATGGCAGCACGATCGCGGTGTCGTCGGAACTCGGCTAACTTCGCGCTAGGACAGAGCCTAGCTGATGGAGGCGCGTAGAGGGCATCACACTTACCAACCAGCCTTCTTGAAGAGCGGTGCCTCCGTCCTAAGAACTGACATTCGTTTTCATTTGTTCGATCACCCAATTCGCCCCTATGATTTCAGACGATGGTATTAATATTGTGGTATCTCCGACATACTTAAACAGAAACATTTAGACGATGTTCAAACAAACCTGTTCATCAAACAATGTTTGCCTGATGCGGGAATCGAATCCACAGCCCTCAGCGCAACTGTCAGAGGCGCTAATCACTGCACCGCCGAGTTAGACAAAGACAGTTAGTTTTAGCGTGTAATTTTATTTCCAGCTCTTCGAACAAGTCCGGAATATGCGCGGAGGTGTTCAGGGACTCCTGAAGAAGGTCTGCTTGGTGAGCGGCGATGCCAGCGCTCCCGATCTGGCCATCAGTCCAGAAGACAGACAGAGCTTGGTTGAGAATGTGGATATTATAATTCACGCAGCTGCAACTATAAGGTGAGTTTTGCTGCCCTGGTTGTAGGATAACAAGACCTGATGTTGACTTAGGGTTACTGGAGTCTATAAACCCATGAAACAGACAAGATAATGATGCGATCAGCACCACCACCAGTGATTACCCAGATAACAATTGCGCCAGTTTTATTTTTGTTAAAAACGAAATTATCCCTACATCGTGGAAGTCGAAATTGAATTTGTTCATTGCGAAATCCTTTAATTTCCAGGTTCGACGAAGAATTAAAAAAGGCAGTACTCCTGAACGTAAGAGGTACTAAGCTGATGGTGGAACTGGCGAAGGAGTGTAAGAAATTGCAGGTGAGCTTATTTGGGAAGGTCAGACGCACGGGAAATCGCAAGTCTTAACGTCTTGACTGGAGGACCATACTATTCACTCTCAATGCCCTTCTGCTAAATTGGAATCGAGACTCGAAAAACAAGCCCAGGTCTGAGACTGAGTTGTTCCTGTTGCTCTTGGACATCGGCAACGCTAGAAGCAATGCCAATGCTGATGACTCTTTTCAATCTTTTACAATCCAATACCCAATAAGGTTACATTGGATGAAACTTCGAATGCCCGGGGTCTAGTTTTGACAGCAGAAACAGAGCTTTTTGGATATCACAGCGCGAATACCGCCGGGGTATAAGCTCCAAGGTTTAAATCCTACTGGCCCTTTTATCTTTCGAACTAGAACAAATGACTTCGCGGTAGAACTATGGTGGTGGTACCGATCCGTGCCGACTTAAAATACCCGTCAAATTTCGGTTAGCTATCAAGATGCGCTGGTATAGAAGTCATAGTACGCTGCAGCCTGTACTCAGAGAATGTCTCAGTCCTCTTGTGAGCGGGAGAGAGTTGAGATGGAGCTGTTCTAAGCTGTCATCACACAGACGACAAGTAACATGCCGCAAATACAACAGTATAATATTGTTTTTTAATTGACAATGTTTCGTTCCCTCCACAGCTTTTCATCCACATCTCAACATCATACTGTCATCTCCATGAGAAACTTCTAGAGGAGAAGCCATATCCTCCGCCAGCGGACCCTCACCAAGTCATCCAAGCTGTGGAATGGATGGACGAGGAAACGATCGCTGCTATGACTCCCAAGTGAGTGGCAAGTTTATCTAAATAAGACCTGACTTTTGGACACTAAATGAAATTCGTCATGGCCTAAAGCAGTCTTTCTCAAAGTGGGCGATAACGCCCCCTGGGGGGCGTTTGAAACCTAGAGGGGGGCGTTAAGGGGCCCAGGAAAAAATGGGGGGCGTTGATGTGGGTTAGGGGGGCGCTGTAAAATTTGTAATTTCATTTACTTAATTTACCCATTACCGTCCAATGTCAAATAGTATAGTAAGCCTAAACAGCTCACTTATTGTAAACNGTACTTCAAGCACCGGTCACCGTTCTCGTCGAACCCGTCGCTTGCGACGAAGGGCTCGACGAGTAAATTAACTCCCAGACACAGCCCACTGAGTTTCTCGCCGGATCTTCTCAGTGGGTCGCGTTTCCGATCCGGTGGTAGATTCTGCGAAGCACGGCTCTTGCTAGGGTTCGTGTTAGCAACGTCATCAGGTTTGAGCCCAGTGAGCTCACCTACAAAAGTTAGGGTTACGCTGACATAGCCTCTCAAGGCTCTCAGCTTAGGTAGGAAAAAAAAAAAAAAAAAAAAAGCTATAGTTTAACTGGGCTAAACTTAATTTTGATGTGAAGAAAAATAATACATTATATTATGTATACTAACGCATGTGTTTTATTTTTCTGAAATGTAATAAAAATAAGTAAATATATTTTTCGGCGTCACAAAATTTTAACCTCTATTATTTATTAGGCCTCGATGTTAGACAAATGTTGTTTTCGGATTTAAAAACTAATATGGCGTTTTTTTTTTAGTTGTTAAAAACAAACATGATTTCACGAATTCACTTCATCTTTAAAAAACAAACATTTCATTAATATACATTTTTAAACTTAAATAACTTCGTTTATTGATGAGGAAGAAAACACGAGAACAGTAGGTATAAAACGTTTATTTCATATAAATATTATGTATATAACAGAATTTCTCTAATTAGACTTTATTACATAAGCAATTTTATATGATACAGTAAACAATTTTACGTGCTTTAGATAAGTCGCGCCACAAACATGAGTCTATTTTAATCTTAATCAACAATAATTTTTACGTACTGATCATTAAATTTCTTACTATATTTTTACTACAACAATAAAGTAGAAAGTCAACTGTAGTCTCATTGTTTCCCCCATCACAATTTGAAGCCGTACAGTTAGGTTTTTGAACCCGCACTGGTAGGTACCACTACCCCGCCTACTTCTGCCGTGAAGTGGGAATGTATTTCAACTTGAAGGTTTTGGGACAGCCGTTGTACTGAGACCTATAACTCATGTCTAAAGGTCAATTGGCGGCATTTACGTTGTTTTTATCTTCTTTTTTTATTGCCTAGATTGGTGGACGAGCTCACAGCCCACCTGGTGTTAAGTGGTTACTGGAGCCCATAGACATCTACAACGTAAATGCGCCACCCACCTTGAGATATGAGTTCTAAGGTCTCAGTATAGTTACAACGGCTGCCCCACCCTTCAAACCGAAACGCATTACTACTTCACGGCAGAAATAGGCGAGATGGTGGTACCTTCCCATGCGGACTCAAAGAGACCTACCACCAGTTAAAATGAGAGTAAATAGGTAAATATGTATGGGTCCCCTCTGGTAACTACATAACACTAGGCGGGCCGCGATCTCGTCCACTTATAATAAGAGCAAGAAAAAAAACATTAGCAATATAGAAGTATTGCTTGAAATCGATTAAAGGCACTTTCCTTGTTTCACTACAATTTTTAAATCAATTATTTACCAAATCGATCATATTCATTAATAATCGCTCAGTACATTTGTACATTGAAACATGCAATATTAAACGAAGAACTAAATGTTACTAAATTAAAATTGATTAGTTTTGAATGTTGAACATTAAACCTATTAACAAGTACGGGTCAAATTGACCGTTTTCAAATTTATGTACTTTTTTAAACTATATAAGTACATCAAAATACCGTTGTGAAACTATAAAACAATTCGTAGAATATGCTTAAAATATTTGCGGCACTATTTACTTAAGGTATTTTTTTAATCTTTTCCAAGAAAAAACACATACATGATCTTTATTGAATAATAAAATCGACAGCTTTATGAATTTCGGGTCGAAGTTACTGAACGCAGTAGGAAGGAATACGCATACAAGAACTATCGGTAGGTTTAGTGTTAAAAAACGTAAAGTGGTAATAAAATTAAATACAAAAAAATAATTTTAATTAGATGAGGAAGTTTTTTTTTATTGCCTTGTGGGTGGACGAGCTCACGGCCCACCTGGCGTTAAGTGGTTACCGGAGCCCATAGACATCTACAACGTAAATGCTGCCACTCACCTTGAGACATGAGTTCTAAGTCTCAGTTTTAACAGTACAACGGCTGCCCCACCCTTCAAACCGAAACGCATTACTGCTTGACGGCAGAAATAGGCAGGGCGGTGGTACCTACCCGCGCGGACTCACAAGACGTCCTACCAACAGTATTTTATAGCACTACTAGCTGTACACGCCCGCTTCGCTGCGCATTTAAAATTAACATTATTATTTATTGTCATTATTATTAGGGAGTCCAACACTCATATAAATATTAGCTTATCCATTAATTACATGTATTTTCTACATGAATACCAAGTTTCAAGTCAATCGGATGCATGGTTCAGTAGTCATAACGGAACATCCGTAAAAACCACTGTAGATTTATATATTAGTATAGATTAAACGCAGATATTACTGTAGATTATTGTTCGATCTGTTTCCCTAAAAGCGAGGCGCGTCATCCAATCCAATCTACCTTTCCTTACAGTGTAAGAAATAAATAAACTTTCGATTAAATCAAAAATCGAATATAAATATATCTTGTAGTAAACTTAACGACTGCGATTGCGCGTCATTCGAAGCGACCAGATCAACGGTGACATATTTAGCGGCTTGCAGTATGCGGAGGCACGAAGCGTTCTCCGGCGGTAAACGCTGAAAGACCTGCGTGAAGACTGCTTTAGCGCAGTCGTAGTGAAACACCAGGTGATCTAAGATATCGGTTAGGTCCGATGGCGTGAGCTGGCAGCATAAGTGAGCTAGTGTCACGCAGAGCTGAAAATTAAACCAATCATACCAGTAGATATTATATTAGGTATTATATTAAGTATTATATTAGGTATTGTGTTAGGTATGATATTAGGTATTATATTAAGTATTATATTAGGTATGATATAGGTATTATAGACATATTTTTTCCTGCGGGAAATCGAGGAGCGATGTTTAATTTTCTTAAAGTTGCTTCATTTAGAGAGAAGGATAGAGAGAGAATACACTTTATTGCACACCAAAACACAATTTACATTCAATAACAGTAAAAAAGCAGATAGATTTGTACAATAGGCGGTCTTATCGCTAAAAGTGATCTCTTTCAGACAACGATTTAATTTAGAGAAATTCTGGAAAACATAAAAATATAGCAGGTATGTTGCGGTGTACTATTGACAATACATTATTATAGAAAATATATACATACAATAAATAGATAAATACCGTTTACATAAAATATAAAATAACTATGTATTTGATTTATATACCAATATACATACTTACATACTATTATACTTACATGCATGTGGGATGGTATTAAATCTAGTGGATATTTAATTAAACAACAAAACCTCTTATTTTTTTTTTAAAATACTATTCGTGACATCGTTATCTCAATCTTATATCTGTCATTTATATTTTCTTATTTTAAAATAAAATTAGTGTGCCAGTGTGAATTGACCAAAAATTACCGATCTTCCCACTTACATAATTATAATAAATCAACAGTATGGAAAGGTTTACTGGTGGTAGGACCTCTTGTGAGTCCGCGCGGGTAGGTACCACCACCCTGCCTATTTCTGCCGTGAAGCAGTAATGCGTTTCGGTTTCAAGGGTGGGGCAGCCGTTGTAACTATACTTGAGACCTTAGAACTTATGTCTCAAGGTAGGTGGCGCATTTACATTGTAGATGTCTATGAGCTCCAGTAACCACTTAACACCAGGTGGGCTGTGAGCTCGTCCACCCATCTAAGCAATAAAAAAAAGGAAATTTAATGAGCGATAAAAAATTACTTGTCTCACCTGTTCAACGAGGTTATCTTTGTGTTTGTACTCAGTGAAATCGTCGACGTTCACAGCGTTCTCCATGGCGGCCATGACGCCTCGCCAAATCGGCGCGAAGTTCGCCGCGTACGATATTCGCGAGCGCGGCGCCCGTAACGCGACCGCCGCGTTTATACGAACCTTGAGATTCTTGCACTCTTTTGTTAGTTTACATAGATTCGAGAACACCTCACTCTGCAAATAAATCTTTGCTGTATTTAGCTTCCAAACATTTCTGAAGTGATAACGTCTTAAAAATCGATTAACACGGCTCCACGCAAGTGTTTTTTTTCCTACCTAAGCTGATAGCCTTGAGAGGCTATTTCAGCGTAACCTTAACTAGTAGTTGAGCTCACGGGGTCAATCTTGACGACGTTGCTAACACGAACCCTAGCAAGAGCCATGCTTCGCGAATCTACCACCAGATCGGAAACGCGACCCACTGAAAAGATCCGGTGAGAAGCTCAGTGGGCTGTGTCTGTGGGTTAATTTACTCAATTACTGTAAGCGACGGGTTCGACGAGAACAATGACCGGCCACGCACGAAAACTGTTATGTTCCGCCTGAGCGTGCAAACTAGAGCGCAGAAAAAGCGATAGAGAGGCACGACGGTAGGCAGCGGCTTGGCTCTGCCCCTGGCATTGCTGAAGTCCATGGGCGACGGTAACCACTCACCATCACGTCATACGGCCCACCCGGCTCGTCTGCCTACAATGGGCAATAAAATAAAAAAACTATCGGCCTAAGCGTTGGTTTGTGAGACATTTATTTCAATTCTCGCATGACATCAGAGCTAGCAGTTCGAATAGTTCTGTTACTGACGTTACCACGTAAAACTACCGTCCGTAAACCGACTTTACAGACAACATTTTTTTTTGTTTTTTTTTTGTCATTATGTAAATGGACGATCTCACGGTAGGGAGTAGTGAGCCCGCAATGTAAATCTAAATTGCGGAATAAATCTCTGGACATTAAATATGTTCCTAAGTGCTATTATAAATACCTGCCATCCATTAAAACAGGTGAAGAGATTCTCGTTCTTCATTGCATTCCCCAGCGCGTAACAAGCATTCCAGCGGACCTTCATGTTCGCGACCTTGCAAGCGCAGTCCAATAGCTTCCCTATTGCTACTTCGCATAAGGTCTTTAGTTGCGGATTCCGATGTAAATTATCGCTCTTTATCAAACGTAAGAGGTTTCCAAGGGCACGTGTCGCACTCTGCTTGACCTGCGTTGCATTATAAGGGTTCATGGTTTACGTATTTTTCTTACTTTTCTCTGAAGTCGTCGTGGCCTAAAGGATAAGACGCCCGGTAGATTCGTATCGAACGATGCGGCTGTAACGGTGTTCAAATTACACAGATACCAATTTTTTCTAATTAACACACACAGAACACATGTTCACGATTGATTTCCACGGTGAAGGAGTAACATCGTGTAATAAAAATCAAACCGACAAAAAATTATAATTTGCGTAATTACTGGTGGTAGGACCTTTTGTGAGTCCGCACGGGTAGGTACCACCGCCCCGCCTATTTCTGCCGCGAAACAGTAATGCGTTTCGGTTTGAAGGGCGAGGCAGTTGTTGTAATAAAAAACTGACATTAAGACTTCACGCCTTACTGTGGGCTCCGGCAATCACTTAACGTCAGTGAGGTCCTGAACTGGTCTAGCCGGCTAGTCCTATGAATGTCTTAGTGTTAAATTTTCATGTAATGTTATTTTATTATTATTTTCTTTCTTGTAGTATCATACAATGAACCGCTTATATTTACCAATGCATACAGTCGGTAACTGTAATTGTGTTAGAATTTAGTGTGAGATGAACGTATATATTACTTGTAATGTCCTGTGCTGATGTATAACATGTTGGTAACCAATAAATAAAATAAAGAAATTAAATAAAATGACGGTAACATCCCAAATTATCAAGAACAGTCATCATCAACGTTCAGGACACGATCGAATAAAAGACGCCGGATCGCATGCATTATAAACAAACACACATACAGCCTCTCCTCTAAACTTTTCTCTCTATCTTTCTTACTATTTATATTGTTAATTTTAATGACTTCGACGACCTACCAACAACAGTACAAAGTTACAACACAAACAAATGTATTTATTTTAGGGATCCGAAATCAAATCAAATCAAATCAAAAAAAACTTATTCAACATAAATGAAAGTACATACTTATTGAACGTCAAAAGAACTACCGCCAATTCACAAGAACTAGCCTCCGTCCTGAGAAGAATTGGCAAGAAACTCAGCGGGCATGTCTTTTTTTTTTTTAAATATTAGATTAGTTGTTAGGCTAGTTCCACAGTTAAACCACTGGGATGAAGAAAGGCAATATATTTGCTCCTTTAAATTCCATTACACTTACACCTTATTTGAACGTTCATCTAAATATATAAATCTTCAATATATTCACCGTGACCTAATATACTGGATCAATAACATTATGCCACGCGCCAAAACGTCAGAGAACGCGTGCAAATGATAAAATGACAAATACTATTATATAGATAAACTATGATCCTACGGTTTCTATCTTTGACGCTCTGTCAAAATAATAACGTATTAGACGTCTGCGCTATGTTTAATTTTTTTAGCGAATAAAGATTATACAAATAACAGATCAGAACATAAGTCTTTATGGTAAATAAAAATTTGACAAAAAAAATATTTTTTTTTTGTTTAATCCTGACAAAGTTTACTAAAACCTAATTAACTAGATAAATCATTCAGTACTGGCATGATTGTGTCATGGTGTTCACAGTTTACTTCCATTGTGGAAAGTCAATATCGCATATAGTAAGTAACAAAAATAATTAAAGTCGCAAATTCTGCACATTTGCCAATTCCGGTCGATCGAACGGCCGACCTTAAAACTTCGTTTGAAGTAAGAAAGTGTCGTTGCGCTGAGACAACAGTTATGGTAGGTGACTGCATGTACGTTGTAGATGTCTACGGGCTCTCCGGTAACCGCTTAACACCAGGTGGGCCGTGAGCTCATTCACCCACCGAAGCAATAAAATAAAAAACGACTACCCGTAGAAAAGAAGTTGATTGAAATTCTAGAAATTTCGAGAAATCAATATGTTGCTCGGAACCGAGAAAGGATATGATTACCTGAGTGCATAGACCACACAGCATTGAGACACGTGGTCAAAGTCTCAATTATAATATAGAGCGCAATGGACACGATCGTGGTACCCACTCTTGCTATCTCACAATCATCCCTACCCACGGGTCATACGGCGCAGAGAACCCTCAAGCTTCTTCACAATCTACTATTGTCCGCAATAAATCGGAATTGCAAAAATAATTGTTTACTTTTACCTTATCATTATCTACGGCGCAATGTATGCTGACCTCGAGCAGCCGGACCAGCAGGTCATCGTCGACTTCGTCAGCATCCGGTTCGTGCCTGTTAGAACAGATTAGTGTACAAAACACATTCCACCGTATCGATGCAACTGGTCAGAGGCGGTTAAAACAAGTGTCTGTTTGTGTATACTTTAAAATCGCATTTTCACTTTGCTTTACAGATACTGAACAATTTCGAACGACTTAATAATAATTAGTATCAGTGGTCTATTTATTAGAGATATCCTATTACAAGGACTATAATAATATATTGATTTTACTAATGCTATTCACAAAATCCCGAAACGATCAGAATTTTTTAAATTTCTTGGATGGGTGGACGTGCCACAGCCCATCTGGCGTTAAGTGTTTACCGGAGCTCATAGACATCTACAATGTAAATGCACCACCCACTTCGAGACATGAGTTGTAACATCTCAGTATTTACAATACAACGGCTGCCCCACCCTTCAAACCGATACGCATAACTGCTTCAAGGTAGACCTAGGCAGAGCTACCTAACACCAGTAAAAGTATTATCGTTCTGCCTGTTCCTACGAAGCTAACATGCGTTTCAGGTACAATAGCCGTTATTCCAATGCAATAGAGATCAAAACTCCACTTCTCGATTCAAGCAAATGTATGCTGCAGTTGTCTATGTACTATGATAAATTCTCTAACAGTATCCGAACCGTTATTATGATAACAAAGAACCCACTGGTGGTAGGACCTTACTGGTGGTAGGACTTTTTACTGGTGGTAGGACCTCTTGTGAGTCCGCGCGGAAGGGTACCACCACCCTGCCTATTTCAGCCGTCAAGCAGTAACGCGTTTCGGTTTAAAGGCTGAGGCAGCCGTTGTAACTGTACTTGAGACCTTAGAATTTATATCTCAAGGTGGGTGGCGCATTTACGTTGCAGAGGTCTATTGGCTCCGGTAACCACTTAACACTAAGTGGGCTATGAGCTCGTCCACCCATCTAAGCAATAAAAAATAAATAAAAAACCCAACTTACAAGTTTAGCACGAGAGCGTCACTCAGATTACCCAAAGCCCAAGCTGCCTTCGCTCTGACCACTAGAGTCGGCTCCGCCAACGCCCTGAGGATGTTCTCGCCACAGTCACTTACGAAGTGTATGTCCTAAAACCAATCGAGTTATTTACAGCGGAAAAAACATATCTGTGTTGTTCGTTCAATTGTTTTAACAGTGAAATGTTCGCAACGATTTTGGTAATTAAATTACTGGCTGTTATGTCGGTCTAGAATATTCTCTTTCCGGTAACTATAGATACAAACGACTAAGGGATTATCTGGAGAACGGATGGTAGTATTCTCTGTGTAGTGCTGAAAGACAAGAGAGAATACAATGCTATTGATGAGGATGTCGAAGACAGAGTTAAGTGGGGGAGTAGTGTAAGGAAAGCTGACCCCACCACCATGAGAGATAATTAGAGAGAAGATGGAAGTATTCTCTGATTATATCAGCATCAGCAGACTGCGATCGCCTACCAGTATTTACTGGTGGTAGCACGTATTGTGAGCCCGTGTAGGTACCACCACGGTCCTAATGCTGCCGCGAACCAGTTACGTCAGCTGTTATATAATAATTGAGACATCCACCTCAAGTCTCAAAACAAATGGCGGCATTCATTATATGATGTCTATGAACACTATTAAACAACTTAAACCAAACGGGTAGTGGACTTGTTCACCCATCTGACGCAAAATACAATTTTAAAATACCTACTAATCCGTTCTAAAAAAACAAAACAATTGATCGTAGCCTTTTTTCTAATTAACCTCTACAAAGTTACCGAATTTCAAGGTTTAGTTGAAGGACAGGGTCACTGACCTCTCTTAATGTCTTGAACATAACCGCCATGGCCAAGGCGCGTACTGCCGCGGCTCGGACCGACGCCTCTTCGTCGCTGCACGATCCCACCAGTAAAGCGCAGCACAGCAGTTGAAAACGTCTCTGCATAAAACATATTGGTAATCTATATATGTTTCTATGGAACCGGCAAACGTAGTGTAGGACGCCCTCCTGCTAGATGGAGCGACGACCTGCGCAGGGCAGCTGGCAGTGACTGGATGCTCATTCGCGAAGCAGATGCTCTTGAGTTGTTAGGTTTCCTTCGAAGGCACTCGGGCAGCTGTTAGCAAATCCCACCCCTCCTAGCTGAGCCTTTGCCCGCGCACCTGTCCTGGTGAAACTGGAAAGGCCTCCGGGCTACCAGTAATACTTCAATCATAAAAAAAAATGTCGATGCGTAAAACCGAAGATCGGGTTCAGTGGCGAGCTTTGGGGGAGGGCTATGTCCAGCAGTGATATGTTTCTCAATCGTGTCACTCTTGACAGAGTGGTCATATCTCCCTGCTCGACATCATCTTGGACTCAGTTGAGGGAAGTCCAACGCTGGTTTTAGTTTGGTCCATCCACCGGCGAGTCGATGTGAGTATGTTCTTAAAGACTCTGGAGCGACTGGATCAAATTTGATCAAATTTTCAGATTAGGTTAGCGGGATCTTCTGAAGTTAAATCGAAGATCGGCCAGAAAAGCGGAAACGTATTTGGCTAATGTTAAGTAAATTGTTATCATACGTCATGAATATCAATCAGCAAAGTAAAATTAATTATTACAAGTTTAGCGGTAGACAGTGGCTTGGCTCTGCCCTGCATTGAATGACATTGCTGACATTCATGAGCGATAGTAATCACTCACTATCAGGTAGGTCGTATTAAGGTCTGCATAAAAAGTTAAAAAAAGTGTGTGTCTGTGCAAGTCACACACGATAGAAGTGAAACTTATTTATATATAAATAAGATATAGATATACTGACTATCCTACTACACAGGAGCATACATATAGACAATGTTTAGTAGACGATAGTGAGGATGTTACGAAGAGTCGCACAAAGAGGAGACCGAGAACGTCTAATGTGTTCTATCTCATTCTCTCGTCGGCTGAATCCTATACATTTATGTGTTTGTGTCTCTATGGACTTATTTTTTCGTTTCATCGAGTTTGAAATCACAATTCCAAAGAAGTTTCACTTAAAAAAAATTTTTTTTTCGACTACCGACATACAAAGACATACAATGCAATGTTCAATCGTACCGGCAACTCCTTGAAGGATTTCTCCCCGATGTTCGCTATACAATCGCAAGCGACCGCCTTCGCCGGGGAATTCTCGTTCGATTGCAGCACGTTCGATAATGGAGTTATCAGTTTCTCCCACATTTGCACGCAGTGGGTCAAGGGTGGAGCTTGATCCGTTTGCTCTGTGAGTCATAATTTAAAATGCAATTACTGATTTTTCTCCGGATTTAATACACCTAACGGGCGTTCAATCTGATGTAAAGCGATTACCAAAAAACGTAGACGTCGCAACGTGAATGCCGCCACCCACTTTGAGACATGAGGTCGAAATTTCGGTTGTATTGTATAAATGCTATCCCACATAACTTCTTTGCGACAAGAATATGCTGGACGTCGTATCTTTTTTTTTTAATGTTGGTATCGACCCATGTGAGATTAGAATACCTACGAACTATACCACTTTATTAAATACCACCAGAATAATAATGACACCAGAAAGTTTATAAGATATGCGAGCTCATTTTTTTATCACTTAATGGTATTCCTTAATCGTGAATACAACATGTGTGTAGACAAATATCACAAAATGTTTATTTAAAAAAATACCATTTCATTTTGTAATCGCGTGACTTTATCGAGTGCGTTACCCGCGTTAGACTTTTCAGTACAAAGAAATATTTAAATGATTTAAATACGTGTGCCTTTCGCACGTTACCTAATTTCTGGACGGCATCACCAATTACGCTGACCGTCTTGGCTGCGTGCACAACCACGTCTTGGTGCTCGTGCTGCAACATCTCACAGAGGACGTCTCCAAGTAAAAGCATATGAGGGTGAAGTAGCTCTTGTAAATGGTGGAATGCTATTGCCGAGAGAACTTGAAGAGATTCTAGTATTACTGGTATATTTGCAGGTTTACATCTCTGGAAGAGTTCACAAGAGCCATATCATTTTATGAATTCTGAAAAATGTTTTCTATTATTTGAAATAGATGAATTAGCAGCCAAAGTGATATTAAATGCTTGTGACATAAGGTCAAACTCATACATATTGTCCAACGGCTATCAAATTTATCAACGAGAAACGCATTACTGCTTCACGGTAGAAATAGGCAGTGATACTTTTAGGATCACCCCGATACCGTGATCCCGTTAGAACGGAGAGTCCTAAAAAGGCTTGGATGAGCTGTGTGAAAGAGGACACGCGAAAGAAGGGCGTCAGTGCAGAGATGAATAGAAATTAATGGAAAAAGAGGACATGCTGCGGTAACCCCACATAATGAGATAAGAGCAAGAAGGTTGATTGATACCTACTCATGCAATGTTATACGTAACTTCCCACTAAAATATTACATTATGTATATTTGTATACATTTCTTTAATAATATTAAACTGTTTTTAAAGAAAGAAAAAACAATATAAAATACCTTTACTTCTGGTCCCCTGAACAACCATCCAATTTTATGGAAGCAGATATCTAAGATCCAGCTTCTGAAATACGTAGACTTTTCCTTCGTCACACTAAAATCTTCGAAAGGTTCATCATCAGAATATCCCTCTTCAAAATCACCGCATTCTTCTAAATCATCAGTTATAGTTATCTGATTTTGAGGACTGTTTTGAAAAGCCGTATCTTTTTCTATGGATTTTAATACCTCCTCTACTTTTGGCTCGACTGAGAGGACGCATCCCATTGTTATCAGCGCACCCACCTGCAGGGTTATATCTGACAAACGAACATTTTCTGTTATTAATTGACGTTGTTCTATAATTCAATACAAAGGCACTGTCACTTATTAACACAGTAGCGACTCGCACACAATTATATAATATGAAACAAATACATTAAATACAAATAGCATATTTTTTCTCAGTCATACGAAATCGCCACGCGAAGAATTCATAGATTCTTGTCTGTGGCATTAAGATGCCCGTATGGAAATACTATTGAGATAGCCTCAGGCAGACTCGCGGCGTTCGATAACGTAGAGAAAACAGGGTTGCTGGCCGATACATTGCAAACCCAGTGCACGCCCAATACTCAATCCACGGACCCTGTTCATCTAGAATTAGTAGACAGGGAGGTCGAACGCAGAGCGTCTTTGCCACCCTCGGACGCAGACCACCCGTCACCCCGATATAAGTTAAAGACCCAATCAAAGACCTACGTCCTCGCAAGGCTCTCGGCTCCGACGGTATATCTAACCGCATTATTAAGCTTCTACCCGCCTAACTCATCGTAATGTTGGCATCTATTTTCAATGCCGCTATGACGCTATGAAATTTAAATCTAGTGGGCTAAAACGAGGCACATTTCGGTTATGACGTCATCGCCGTTGAAATGCGGACGTGCATGATACGCGACGTTCCAACTTTAAAATGTTGATCGCTACGTCATTTCACTTCTCGATATTACGGCTTCAAAAAAACAATGATACCCTATCATTCATTTTGCCTGACTGGGTGGTGCAGTAGTTAGGGGCCCTGACTGTTGACTTGACTGGTTCGTGGGTTCGATTCCCACATCAGGCAAACATTATGTGATAAACTTCCATAAGTACCTATGTCAATATCTGGTACACATAACATAAGGAATCCTAATTTGGGGCTGGATGACCGTGCGTGATTTGTTCCCACTTATTTATTTATTTATTTAATATTCATTTTACGATATCGGTGGGCTCTGGTAACCATTTTAGACCTTATGGACCGTCAGCTTGTTCACCCATTTACGCAATAAATAACAACTGCTGTGACATACCAAATTGTATTAACATTAAACATTCGAAACACCAAACACGCTATTACGTAGTATAGGTAATTTTAAGGACAATTAAGCAACTCACCTCGATGAACCAAAAACTTCCTTGTTGATTTAACTAAGTCCCCTATGAGACCATTCTTCATCTTATGATAGGGCGTGGCCTGAACCAAAGCGGCACAGCACTTCAGAGCTACAATAATCACGGCGTGACTCCTTTCGGTGTCCAGGATCGAGGTAAGAACTTTGTGCATGCAAACAATTACGTAACCAAGCGACACCGAGAACGGTATGAATGATGTTGTCTCTCTCTTGCTGAAACATAAATCAAACTTACAACCGCCAACTGTATACATCAGCATTGACGACAGAGCCTTCTGAGTTCGCCTTTTTTTGGTCAGGAGGAAATCGCCGGACTTCCGCACTCCACTAGGGATGGAGGGCGGAGCACGTCGGAGTCGAATTGACTAAAACCTCCTGTCGCTCAACAAGCCACGTCCGAACCTCGCATGAGACAGAACTCATGAAAAGGCAAAGGGGGGAAAGCGAAGCTTTTAGTGCGGAGCACATCTCTCCCATCACCCTCCCCCTCTGAGTTCGCCTAGGTGGAGTTTCCGAAAATCATATAAATAAACGTTATTCCAATGTTCACCTGGTCTTCAATCCTGGTGTCTTAAGACCTGTGTTTGTGTCTTTGGTAATTAATCGTTAAATTCAAAATTTAGCAGACAGTTTATTTAATCACATCTTTCTATACATTTGGAACATGATTTTTTTGATGTTATCATTAAAATTTGATATCACTCGTCTTCGTTTTCGGAAACAGTTCAATTAAGGGATTCATATTTATAAGTATGTTTATAATGAGTATAAGAATACCTTGTTTCAGCTTGAGACAAGTAAATCCTAGATCCAGATAACAACGCTAGTATTACACTCAAAACACTGGAACGGCTACTGGCTATAGGATCAGTTACGGCGCAAAAAGCAAGGGTCATCTTAGCAGAATCTCCTGAAGACCAGTTCAGAGGATCAGGAGAATCGGGTAACAAGGCCCACCAATATCCAAAGATTTCTTTCTTTTCTTTTACCTGCAATTGCCCAACTTTAACATTATTATTAATGGCAACATGTACCCTATAAGGACAAATCTTGTAGATAAAATAGTAAATAGTAATAGAAACTAAGTTTTTAAATTCAACTGGACAGCGGCCTAGATGTGCTTCTAGCATTGCTTGGGTCCATGGGCGGCGGTAAAAACTTGGCAACCACAGGCTGTTCATCAAACAATCATCAAAAAAGGAAGCCTTTATGAATCTCCTGACCTAAAACTAACTATTAAAAAATTATAAAATTATGTTAATTTCTTACTTCATTGTGACGTGAAAGAAGTACAACAAACAAACAAACACACATCTATAATATTTAAGCTAGAATATACTGTAGTAGGCTGTTGCTGTGGCAGAAATAGATAGGATAAATTCACACAATATCCATATTTGAGCATTGGAAGATTAAGTTGTCCAAAATCAGGCTGACATACAGAAACAAGGAGATAGAAATGCAATTAGCAACTTACTTTTATTAGGACTAAAAGTAAATTTGAAGCACTCTGTCTCACTCTAGCTTTTAAAGCAATTAATTTTGCCTCCCTGCTGTTCTCAACATCTGATATGTCTGAATCACTGGTCAATACCCAGGCATGCTTAGTTTTCTGTGGCTCTAAGTAATTCTGACTTGCTGGCTTGTAGGCAGAATTGTTTTCGAAATTGTCAACATCTTTTAATAAACTTCTATCAGAAGTAGGTATCTCTTTCTTGAGGCTTTCTATTGCATTGTTTCGCTGTTTCCTTATTTTTTGTTTCTGAAAATTTTTATTGTAATTAGGTGATATTTTAAAACATAATTGATGGTGGTGACAAAAATGACACAGGTATGAAGCTACTTTATATTAATAGAATATCTTATTACTCACTTATTACTTGGTAGTGTTTGAATTAATATCAAAAGAAGACACTAAAATAACTAGCCTCATCTCTCACAGTATCTATATACATATATTTTAGGATATAAAAGATTAGTTTATGGAAAGTCATTACAAGTGTTTCATTAATATTTTCCTTTAAAAATAATGAAGTTACCTTCCCACCCTTACTTGGTGGTTTGTGTGGTACAGGTGCCATGGCTACAGTTTGCTGAGAAGGCATAATCTTCTCAGGTTTATTACCTTGATCTACAAGTCCAAAAAGAACGAAATAATGACAGATCCCTATTATTTCTGGCAATGGAATTACCACATTCTGATCACTGAAGTATAACTGCGCCAGTATCCTTAATGCTGATACAACAGCCTGTAAGTTATAATAAGTTTTAAATAAATATGCTGTTTGGGACCTCTTCTTAACATTCTAAAAATATAGTCACCACGATTCGTAGGATAGTTAAGCATTAACTACTGTATGAATGGGTCAGGGCTTAATTTTAGGTCAGAGTTGGTATCTTTGTCAAATATATTTGGTATTTGAGCTCTAGATGTCCTTGTTTCTGTTTTGAATGTCTAATATATTCACATATTTAGATTTGTTGTTAGGTAATAAAAACAAATGTTAGAAAACAAAAGCAAATGGCTATTTGACAGTTGTTTCAATTTTAAAAGGAAAATGTTATGCTTTAGTTCATTAACTTTTAATTATTACAATGACATACAAACATCAGGTATTGCATTATTCTGAACTTAAGTAATAGAATGAACATACCTTACAGTACAAAAATTCATCAGTTTTCTTATTATGACCTTTCATTAAAAACTTCATTGCTATTTGTGACATTTTCTCTTTGGCTTCCAATGAAAGACCATGGCTAGTCTCTAACGTTTTGTCATCATAAGCCGATATTAAGCACATCATGCATTTAAAAGCAACCAAACATATTTGGAGTGAGTTTGGAGTGCTGAGATATTTGTCATCATGTACTAAGTGTATTAAAACACCTCTACTGCCAATTAAGGCATCTGTAAACTAATAATATTATTTATGTCATCATTAGGTATCATCATGCTATAAATTAGATCATAATAATTTGTAAATTGTAAGGTTGTTTTTTGTTAACATGTTGAAGGCAAAAACAGGGAATCAGTAATTTTTATCAACTTGAGATCTTCATTCTAAAATATATAATATGGGATAATTTGCACGGGAGATCAAAATTAGCGACTTTTACTGTCCAGTTTAAATGTCTAGTCTAGTTTGAGATATTTTTAAAGGCTATAATCTTGATAAAACTACAACTTTCTATTGGATTTGAAAACCAAGGCATTTGGTTCAGCTCAATGGCCACAGCGCTCACGTCCTTATGCCTTTTGTTCGATAGCTGCAATCTGTGGCTTATAGGAAGCGTTCATGTACGTATTAAAAATATTTTGTTTTCTGTACTGTATATGTATAAAATAATTATAAATAAAATAAATTTACTGTTTATATCACATTCGTTACTTTTTCATTCGAATGTATGACATGACATATCCACATGCCACACCTCAAAGTTTTAATATTGTGATAGTGTCATAGTATTACTATTTTCTTGATATTATTACTTTGAACACAGAATCAACTTACAGTATGGTACAGGTTTCATTTTGAACTTTCATGATCATAGTCAGATGACCCAAGCTAAAATAATTTCTAATTATGAATAAATTAAGGTATAACATTTAAAAGCAATATTTTCAAACCTTCTGACCCACTTGCGGATTGTATTGCAGAATACACTGTAAATTATGCAAAATATCTGGTACTACTATCTCAGAAATATGCTTCAAGCACTCAATGTGCCAGGCAACTACATTTGATAAATTATCAGCACTAAATTGGAGGTTTTGTTTCACTATCATGCTTTTCATGAGATGAGATGCTTTTGTTGCTAAAAAGTCTTTCGTTGGCTTTATATTTACACAAAGGGCTGTCACTAATGTTGTGGCGTCCTGGAAACATTAATAAAGAATTTGGTAAGCACAGCTGCTCTCGGTTCTGTTTGTGATAACAGGTCAAATTATATATGACACACTTACATGTTTTCTGACAAATATCTCAGCTTTAAACGGTTTAGAATTGAGTTCATCAATAAGTTGATTAATTTTCTCTTTGTTGTAATTTTTCAAATAAAGTAAATTACACAGTTCTCCACACAGCCGTGAGTAATTTTCAGATAAATTATTTTCCATTTTATATAATTTATTTTACCTTTGGATCTTAAGGCAACATTGAGTCACTTAATTTTATTCCCTAATTTTTTTTTCTCATAATTTATCATATCCTATCATGTCTTATTTTTATCCATTGGTCTTTATTTGTTTTCTAATTTCTAATTTTCAAATTATTTGGATTTTTTGACAATTATAATGTCAATTGTCATTGTCATTAAAAATCATTCGAAAAGAAACAAGGCCACAATATTAAAACCATACATGTTTCCTTTTAGTTATATAAAGTTTTGTTTGCTATAAGAATTAAGAAATGGGAAATGGAACGATATAAAGATTACTCTTTTTTTTGAAATTGTATGGTACATTTAAATTAAATTAGTGCCCCTATGTGTAATTTATTGTGAACAAATATTTTTTGTAAATACCCGAAAAGCTACTCTTACAAATCATAAACCGTAATATAAGTTACCGTTGTGGTTCGTAAACTTGAAGTAATACTAAATTATAAAAAAAAAACATATAAATTCGTTTTCCCGATTTCTAACTTTCCCGCTTTCCAGCCAATCTTTATATATCCATGTTCAACATTATGAATGAAAAAGTATTGAAATATGGTAGACAGAATGTCATCAAAAAATTCATACAGAAACGATCTTAAAAATTCACGAACCTTGGACAACGTAGACATAGGTAACCTTAATTCAAATTAACTCCTTATTAATATTAGTGCAAAAACAAGAACATCCCTATCCAACCAGAGCGCAGATCTAGGCTCAAAAAACCGGATTGTACGTGTTTTAGAAAGGCTTGCCAGTTTGCTGTCCATCTGATAGTAAGTGGTTACTGTTAATAATGGACATCAACAATGACAGAGCACAAACAAGTCGCTGTCTAGCATTTACGACTCTTTACTCTCCGATTGTAAGTAATGATTTCTCTATTGAAACTTTTTCAAAGACTACACGTAAATTCTATTGTTTTATTTTATTTTTTTAAAAAGGTTAGTGAGTATTAAAACCACTTTCAGAACTGTCAATTGCTTCAAAATTCATTATCAATAAAATGTCTTTGTTTTCTACTTATTTACCGCAGTCGAAAAAAGAGATTACTCAACATCCATGGGCTAAATCGATAAAAGAACATCATGCGCATATCTATAAGATTGCTCATAATTCAATTAACAACCCTAAATATCCGTTTAAAGAAAATAAAATGACAAAGCCCAAAGATAAATTTACCGTTATAGGTAACTTTGTAACCAAAGAATTTATTTACTGCATCCGTTTAGTTCAAGGGCTACATAAATATAGAAAACACATATTTGATACCCCAGTGATCAGAGGTGAGTGTTTTAAGAGACATATAAATAAATACAACTTCCACATGCAACGGGTTCAAGATTAGAACAGGCAATCATGTAATAAAAAAATCAAACCCGCAAAATTTAAATTTGCGTAATTATAGGTGGTAGGACTTCGATCAATGGTAGGACCTCTTGTGAGTCCGCACGGGTAGGTACCACCACCCTGCCGCGCGTTTCGTTTTGAAGGGTAGGGCAGCCGTTGTAACTATACTGAGTACTTAAAACTTATATATCTAGGTGGGTGGCGCATTTACGTTGTAGATGTCTATGGGCTCCAGTAACTACTTAACATCTAAGCAATAAAAATAAAATGCATATTCAGACCAAAGTTTAAAAACATACTGACCAGAGCGGGATTTTAACCTGGACTCCGAAGTTCAGTGGTTATGGTAACTTTTTTTATTTTTTTTTATTTTTTTATTATTGCTTAGATGTGTGGTCGAGCTCGCAGCCCACCTGGTGTTAAGTGGTTACTGGAGCCCATAGACATCTACAACGTAAATGCGCCACACACCTTGAGATACAGTTCCAAGGTCTCAGTATAGTCACAACGGCTGCCCCACCCTTCAAACCGAAACGCATTACTGCTTCACGGCAGAAATAGGCGGGGCGGTGGTACCTACCCGTGCGGACTCACAAGAGGTCCTACNTTGTTGTTGGTTAATAAAACAAATGTTAGCTAATTTAAGCAAATGCACACTGATGTTAGGCAATTGAGATAGGAACACAAATAGCTATTTGACAGTTGTTTCAATTTTATATTGAAAATGTTGTACTTTAGTTCATTAACTTTTTAATTATTACAATGACATACAAACATCAGGTATTGCATTATTCTGAACTTAAGTAATAGAATGAACATACCTTACAGTACAAAAATTCATCAGTTTTCTTATTATGACCTTTCATTAAAAACTTCATTGCTATTTGTGACATTTTCTCTTTGGCTTCCAATGAAAGACCATGGCTTGTCTCTAACGTTTTGTCATCATAAGCCGATATTAAGCACATCATACATTTAAAAGCAACCAAACATATTTGGAGTGAGTTTGGAGTGCTGAGATATTTGTCATCATGTACTAAGTGTATTAAAACACCTCTACTGCCAATCAAGGCATCTGTAAACTAATAATATTATTTATGTCATCATTAGATATCATCATGCTATAAATTAGATCATAATAATTTGTAAATTGTAAGGTTGTTTTTTTTAATATGTTGAAGGCAAAAACAGGGAATCAGTAATTTTTATCAACTTGAGATCTTCATTCTAAAATATATAATATGGGAGAATTTGCACGGGAGATCAAAATTAGCAACTTTTACTGTCCAGTTTAAATGTCTAGTCTAGTTAGAGATATTTTAAAAGGCTATAATCTTGATAACTACAACTTTCTATTGGATTTGAAAACCAAGGCATTCGGTTCAGCTCAAGGGCCACAGCGCTCACGTCCTTATGCCTTTTGTTCGATAGCTGCAATCTGTGGCTTATAGGAAGCGTTCATGTACGTATTAAAAATATTTTGTTTTCTGTACTGTATATGTATAAAATAATTATAAATAAAATAAATTTACAGTTTATATCACATTGGTTACTTTTTCATTTGAATTTATGACATGACATATCCACATGCCACACCTCAAAGTTTTCATATTATGATAGTGTCATAGTATTACTTTTTTCTTGATGTTATTATTACTTTGAACACAGAATCAACTTACAGTATGGTACAGGTTTCATTTTGAGCTTTCATGATAATTGTCAGATGACCAGAGCTAAAATAATTTCTAATTATGAATAAATCTAATATATAAAATTCTGGTGTCACAATGTTCGTTCCCATACTCCTCCGAAACCGCTTGACTGATTCTCATGAAATTTTTTATGCATATTCAGTAAGCCTGAGAATCGGCTACTATCTATTTTTCATACCCCTAAGTGATTAGGGTTGTCCACCCCTAACATATTTTTTTTTATTTGGACTTTTTTTTTTATAATGAGGTATTATGTGGTTGAATGAGGTTTTGTTATTTTTATTATATATTCCCTCATCGTTCACAGCACTACATACCTCTTTCAATCATTTACCACATCCTTACACACTTACAATAAGTTAGTTTTTTTTTCTACACTAAAAATTCCCTAGAAATCTTATATATGGCAAAACAATGTTTGCCGGGTCAGCTAGTTAAGGTATAACATTTAAAAGCAATATTTTCAAACCTTCTGACCCACTTGCGGATTGTATTGCAGAATACACTGTAAATTGTGCAAAATATCTGGTACTACTATCTCAGAAATATGCTTCAAGCACTCAATGTGCCAGGCAACTACATTTGATAAATTATCAGCACTAAATTGAAGGTTTTGTTTCACGATCATGCTTTTCATAAGATGAGATGCTTTTGTTGCTAAAAAGTCTTTCGTTGGCTTTATATTTACACAAAGGGCTGTCACTAATGTTGTGGCGTCCTGGAAACATTAATAAAGAATTTGGTAAGCACAGCTGCTCTCGGTTCTGTTTGTGATAACAGGTCAAATTATATATGTCATACTTACATTTTTTCTGACAAATATCTCAGCTTTAAACGGTTTAGAATTGAGTTCATCAATAAGTTGATTAATTTTCTCTTTGTTGTAATTTTTTAAATAAAGTAAATTACACAGTTCTCCACACAGCCGTGAGTAATTTTCAGATAAATTATTTTCCATTTTATATAATTTATTTTACCTTTGGATCTTAAGGCAACATTGAGTCACTTAATTTTATTCCCAAATTTTTTTTTTTCTCATAATTTGTTATATATCATGTCTTATTTTTATCCATTGGTCTTTAATTGTTTTCTAATTTCTAATTTTCTAATTATTTGGATTTTTTGACAATTATAATGTCAATTGTCATTGTCAGTAAAAATCATTCGAAAAGAAACAAGGCCACAATATTAAAACCATACATGTTTCCTTTTAGTTATATAAAGTTTTGTTTGCTATAAGAATTAAGAAATGGGAAATGGAACGATATAAAGATTACTCTTTTTTTTTAAATTGCATGGTAAATTTAAATTAAAGTAGTGCCCCTATGTGTAATTTATTACAAATATTTTTTGTAAATACCCGAAAAGCTACTCTTACAAATCATAAACCGTAATATAAGTTACCGTTGTGGTTCGTAACCTTGAAGTAATACTAAATTATAAAAAAAAAACATATAAATTCGTTTTCCCGCTTTCTAACTTTCCCGCTTTCCAGCCAATATTTATATATCCATGTTCAACATTATGAATGAAAAAGTATTGAAATATGGTAGACAGAATGTCATCAAAAAATTCATACAGAAACGATCTTAAAAATTCACGAACCTTGGACAACTAGGTAACCTTAATTCAAATTGACCAGTACGTCAAAACGACAATTTCATATCACAACTCCTTATTAATATTAGTGCAAAAACAACAACATCCCTATCCAACCAGAGCGCAGATCTAGGCTCAAAAAACCGGATTGTACGTGTTTTAGAAAGGCTTGCCAGTTTGCTGTCCATCTGATAGTAAGTGGTTACTGTTAATAATGGACATCAACAAGAGCACAAACAAGTCGCTGTCTAGCATTTACGACTCTTTACTCTCCGATTGTAAGTAATGATTTCTCTATTGAAACTTTTTCAAAGACTACACGTAAATTCTATTGTTTTATTTTATTTTTTTAAAAAGGTTAGTGAGTATTAAAAACACTTTCAGAACTGTCAATTGCTTCAAAATTCATTATCAATAAAATGTCTTTGTTTTCTACTTATTTACCGCAGTCGAAAAAAGAAATTACTCAACATCCATGGGCTAAATCGATAAAAGAACATCATGCGCATATCTATAAGATTGCTCATAATTCAATTAACAACCCTAAATATCCGTTTAAAGAAAATAAAATGACAAAGCCCAAAGATAAATTTACCGTTATAGGTAACTTTGTAACCAAAGAATTTATTTACTGCGTCCGTTTAGTTCAGGGGCTACATAAATATAGAAAACACATATTTGATACCCCAGTGATCAGAGGTGAGTGTTAAGAGACATATAAATAAATACAACTTCCACATGCAACCATAGACCTATCATGCAACGGGTTCAAGATTAGAACAGGCAATCATGTAATAAAAAAATCAAAGCCGCCAAATTTAAATTTGCGTAATTATAGGTGGTAGGACCTCTTGTGAGTCTCTTGTGAGACTCTTGTGAGTCCGCACGGGTAGGTACCCGTGCGGACCACCACCCTGCCGCGCGTTTCGTTTTGAAGGGTAGGGCAGCCGTGAGTACTTAAAACTTATATATCTAGGTGGGTGGCGCATTTACGTTGTAGATGTCTATGGGCTCCAGTAACTACTTAACACCTAAGCAATAAAAATAAAATGCATATTCAGACCAAAGTTTAATAAACATACTGACCAGAGCGGGATTTTAACCTGGACTCCGAAGTTCAGTGGTTATGGTAACTAAGCGCCGATAGATAAGGTATATTAAATATGCACTTTCCACGTCTACTTCTGAATATAAATAAGACTATTTGGACTAGAAGTATCAAAATTTTGAAGCTGGTAAATATATCGCCCCTCGCGATATCTATCAAATTCTAGGTGTTACGGGTGTTGAATGGCCTGCCGTTTGGAATGATATAAAGATTAAATTTGGAGGAAAAGCATACTGTCTTCAATCACAAGTTGCAGTTGTTTTGAACGGCGAATTTATAGGTGGAGAACTTGAGTTGAAGAGCTTAATCGAATCAACCTATAAATACCATTTGAAATTAGATTATTGCAAAGAAAGTATAAAAGAATTTTATAAATTCGTAAAAAGTTCTGGTGTAAGTCGTATCTTTTATTTTATCATTTTATTCGCAGAAGATTGATAAGCTTTCTATTTATTTTAATATGGGCATATTGTTTGTTACAGAGGCCATGTACTTACATGCATATTTGTATAGACGATGACCACATTGGCACTTTAATATTTATGGTAATATTTTATTACTAAAAATCGATCTCAAATGCATTTAAGTGGTCTTTGCTTATTTTGTAGTATTCGTTTTAGCTGTACGCGGATATTGCACCGAACACGTGCGAGAATTTCCTTCGTCTTTGTAGAGCGAAAAGAGGCGGTTATAGCGGTACCCCTATACATAGAATTGTAAAAGATGGTTGGATACAGTGCGGAGGTTTTGGTTTGAAAACCACGAATTTGGATTGCGAAAATTTCATTGTACCACATGATAGGCGAGGTGTTTTATGTATGGCTAACGATGGCAGGTAAATTGGGTTGTCATTGATTACGATTAAATAACTAAGCAATTGTTTGCTGAAATGTGTTGAAAGTATTCGTTTGTTAAAATAAGCAAAGTCGCAATCTAATCCTTACGGTATTTTAGGCATGTTGATTGTTCAACTCAATTTTTCGTTTTGCTTCAACCGGCTCCATGGATGGCACACAAATATGTTGCCTTTGGTCAATTAATCGAAGGTGAAGGTACTCTGAAAAAAATCGAAAGTGTACCTACCTGGTATGAATCTCCCTTATCGGACATTAAAATATTAAAGTCAGGAATCCTAAACATGGAATGTCAAGATATTAAAGTTACTAAAGGTACTAAAGAATACCTGAAAGGGCATGTTGAAGATCTTGTTGCTTTGGGTAATCTACTATACGAGGTGAGAAATAAGAGAATAGTAATTTAGCGTTAGTTCGAACCCAAAATCGAACTCTTAAGTATAAATTATAGAGGTATACCTAACTTTTTCTATTATTATTATTTAAAAAATTCACATTATTTAGTTATATTTTAGAGCCTAATCGATAAAGTATTCATATTAATTGAGTTCAAACGCATTGCCCTCTTGGATGTTGAACCAGAAAGTCCGGAACTAAATGAAGAAGAGATAGGAAGTTTGAGAGCTACAAAAAGGTAATTCCACTAATAAAAAGCGTAATAATAAGACTATCGTAGGTTGATTTAACAACCAATGTAATGATAAATGATATAACCATTAGATTTATAAAAAACAAACAAGACATTGAGAAACAATTACAAAGTAATCAAGCAGAAAACCGACAAAGCGTTGATAGTGACAACCAGGAGTTCGATGTAGATGTATACGAATATGAATCGGAGGAGTCTTCATATCAACATGTATCGTTAACGGAACCAAGCGTAGTTACGAATGAAGAAAAGCCGTATTACTTGCCTCTGACAGACGTACCGTATCCTGACGAAGTTGACTCTGTCTACGATTTAAAAAAGTAAGAATACGATGGTTTTATTTTATATATTACTAGCTCACCTGGAAAACGTTGTTTTGCCATTTATAAGATTTCTAAGGAATTTGTAGTGTAAAAAAAAGACTTATTGTAAGTGTGTAAGGATGTGGTAAATGAGCGAAATAGGCATGTAGCACGTGTAGCGTAGTGAACGATGAGGCAATATAAAAATAACAAAACCTCATTCAATCACACAATGCCTCATAATAACAAAAAAAATGTCCAAAAAATAAAAAATAAATGTTAGAGGTGGACAACCCTTATCACTTATGGGTATGAAAAATAGATAGTAGCCGATTCTCAGACATACTGAACATGCATATAAAATTTTATAAAAATCGGTCAAACCGTTTCAGAGGAGTATGGTAACTAACATTGCGCTACGAGAATTTTATATATAAGATTACTGTTGAATATATCGGATAATATTATCTCATTTTAGATTTTTAAAAGGCAATTACTGCCTAGAGAGTGATTTAAAAAAGGATCAAATCTTCTTACATGAAACAAAACAGTTTTCTTCTGAATTATTTGATCTTGATGACGATGAATCGGTTTCAAGTTCAGGTAAAGTTCATTTGATGTTCAGATTTATGTCCCTTTCGTATTTTAAGACAAATGAATAGCCAGGCCACTTGGATGCAAACTGCTGCCGCCCATGAGCAATGGACAGCTCCCTACCGTAAAATACATTCGTAAGCCTCGTTTGATGTGAAACTTCTCATTCCTTTGAAAGAGCGCCGTTATAAGTCATTTCAGGTGGATCATACATACATATCATACATCGATCATACAATATAATATACATAGAATACAACGCTAAATTACATATTAACCTTTAGATTTTTACAGTGGAATCATTGGCTTCCGACGATGAAAAGGAAATCAGGAAATATATAAAGTAAGTTAATGAATTAAATCGATGGCTACATTCTATTGCGTGTTGTGCGTGTTTTTTTAATTTTTTGGTTGTTCTAGAATGAACGTCGATCGCGTTAGTTTTGCCGGTGACGTGATCAGAAATATTGCGGGGGGAACTGGAAAATTCAATTTATTTCAAGACTTTCGAAAGTGAGACGTTATATTTTTTATTGAAAAAATGTGCTTATTTTAACATTATCACGCTCTATATTTTTTCAGGTCAGAATTGATCACGGACGATGAGCTTAGAAGGTTCAGGTGAGTTGCATATCATAAAATAAATACTTTACAACTATTTAATAATTCATCAACATTATTTATCTGTATAATTTTCAGATTAGCATCGATAGATCACCGCGCTCGCGAGGAAAGGTATTTTTTTTTTTTTATTAATTTTTTATCGAAAGAGTGTTTAGCGCAAGTGTTTCATTTTTATTAATTCACTTTTTTTTTAGAAAAGTCTCCATCAGTCTACCTGACGAAGCCAAGCAGGTACATACAAAGATTAAAAGACGCCAGACAGGTTTCGTTAGGCCCGAAGATTTGGAAAGGATACATATTATACAAAAGCCTAGCTTTGATGAATCTTCAGATATTGATGAATCTACTACCAACATCGGCAGGTAGGAGGAATTCAAAAATAATAAATTTTTTGAAGTGAAACTTCTTTAGGCGCTTTGAGAGTAAAATTTAACTTGCGACTGATTCGTTACGGCTAGAGAGAAATGATACAATTTAGGAAGAATGAGAGTGAGAATATACATAATAAATAAGACCGTCTCGCGAGCCACTCGACCGTGGAGAGGAGGAAAGGATTATGCGAGCTAGGTCGTTTCTCTTATACACAGCATTACAAGAGAAATTTGTTTTTTTATTTAAGGAAGAAAAATGAAGTAAACCACAATACTACACACCGCAAAAGAAGTTTCACTTCTTTCACATGTAATATTTGTTACGCACTTTGTTAATCACTATCTATTAAAAAAAACCGCATCAAAATCCTTTGCGTAGTTTTAAAGATTTAAGCATACATAAAGAGAGACTGATATAGGGATAGAGAACGCGACTTTGTTTTATACTATGTAGATGCACTCAAATATAAAGTTTCAACGTTTCTCTTGTACCTCAATTTCAATTATGCTCAACCGATTACCTGGTTCAAAACTGATTGACAATTTTGACAATTTTTTTATTAATTTTATTGATTTACAGGAAAGTACGTATATCACCAACAGCGATGTCTCCACCGACAGCCCGAGAAAGTAGTCGACGACCAACCGCTTTTGTTCGGCCTTCAGACGATAATTCAGACACTGAGATGCGACGTTCTGTATTAACTCGGTTATATGAAGAGGTGACTGCCACAGATGAAATACCAGGCCCCACTCTGAAGGACTATAAGTACGCTACTATCTTTGTTAAGTAAAATTCATCGAGATCCTATAGTGTTGTGAGGTTTTTAGGGAGATGAAGGCAGAGGCGTGTGCGTTGGTTGTTTGTTGTGTGTTGTCCTCCATAAACCTCATCGGAGCGGTCAATAAAACACTACGTATAATTACATGTTTACGTCAGCGACCGCGGTAGATCGCTGCACGTAAACCACTGACTAACGTCTATTGCTCATTACTATAACTGCATAGTAAGCTAAGCGGGGAGGGGTATCATTTTCCTACAGTGTGGTTCATTATTGGCGTACCCTGAGCTTGCTGTCCGGGTGAAACTGGAAAGGCTTTTGGGTCACCCGTAAACCTTCCATCCCAAAAAGTTAGCCGAAAAATCCCGACTGATTCCGCGAATTTGTTAAAATCGCGTCTAGCTCGTCTTGTTGGACTAGGACAACGCAATTAAATTTTTTTCCTCGACAAAATCCAACATCGATAAATGTTGTAATGTATTCCTAATAGTGGTCTTCGTCAAGGACTAAAAATAGTTATTTTTGCAATCCCTAAGCCCGAAATACCGTAGAGCGGTAGAGGCGTAAACATCCTATTTCACACGTATAGGTGGATTTTCTTTTCAATCTAGTTGAAAAGTCAGCGATACTATTAGGCCATTTCATCACAATAATCACCATCGAAAGAATAGTTCTTGTAAAATCTCGCACACATGCTCTTTAATAAGCTATAGATGTGAACTCATTTTTCTCATCGTCGACTTATAAGGTCTAAAATTGCTGATTGTTCTTTCTCAAAGCCCTCCTACAGGACTTATGTGAGTGACATTTGCCAGTCGATGTTCAAATGCGGATAGTAGCGAAAGTGCAGCCCCTATAGATATAGGATTGTTATCATTTTGTGCGATAGAGATAGCGCTCTACAGAGCCGAAATTAGCCGTTTGACTCTTTCAAAAGTTCAATTTGCAATATTTATCGCCAGGAACTTCTAAGTTCAATTTGATTCATTTACAGACCAATATCAGAGACCCATCGTAAAAATTTAATGTTTCTTACGTATTCGCCGAGGTCTCACGTGATAAGCGAGGAGAATGCCCGTGAAAAATACATTAGGCGATCGTTGACAACTGAAAAAAACTTATACGAACCGGTTTTGAACTTGCAACACGGAAGGAGGGTAGCTCATAAAATATCTTCCGATTACGTGAAGACCATAGACCAAATAGAGCATAGACTAGATAATTCTTTGAGGAGCATAGAGTTTGCCAAAGTTCGGCCCACTCTGTCTGTTGCGGAATACCAAATGAAGAATAGTAAATTTAAAGAATTAAAAAAATCGACAAACGGAGAGCTTAAAACAGAAACGGTAATGATGCCGCCTCATGATTTTGGTGAGTTGTTATTTAATTATTAAAGAGAAAACGTAAGCTATACGGATTTAGTAAAGTACTAGCCGTACTCGCCCGCTTCGCTGTGCATTTAAAATTATCATTATTATTTATTGTCATTACTATTAGGGAGTCCAACACTCATATAAATATTAGCCTATCCATCAAGTACATGTGTTTTCTACATGTTTACCAAGTTTCAAGTCAATCGGAGTCAAATTTCAGTAGTTATAACGGAACATCCGTAAAAACCGCTGTAGATTTATAATATATTAGTATAGATATATATGTGATGTATTAAATGTATTATTTACAATTTGACAGACCAAAAGCGATCAGTCGGTGGTCTGAGATCACCAGATGACACACCACCGTCGATTTCAGACGTGAGTTTTTCTATATTTAAAAGATATTTATTTAATTTCATAACTCGTTATTTATGCACTGTTTTTTTCTAGGAGGAAAATGCCTTTGAAAAGTAAACGTATATTTTTTTCGAGCGAAGAGTCCTTTGTTTTTCAAAATATGCCTTACATGTGTATAAAAAATAAATAAATAAATTAGAAAAAAAAAAACAATTTTATTAGATAGCACTGAAACAGAACAAAAAATTATCGTCAACGTGATTAATACTAGAAGGTACATTTCACATTTACACCAGCACAATGTCTATTAATGTACAACATCGCCTACTTCACTGTATTCACTGTATAAACTACACAAAAAATATAATATTGCGCCATCCTTAATAAAAATATCAGTCAAATGCTTTCATCTTGAAAGCGATTTGTCAAGTCCGTGTACAAGCAATAAGTAGATTGACTGATGGTTATTAATCAGAAATTGTATTTTTTTTTTAATTTCACGCTTGAAAGAGAGCGCACTAAAATTACATAGCGTCAAGCTCACGTGCGTCACGATACTCATTTTTCTCCCTTCAAAACTTATTATGAAATTGTAGGGTATTCAATAAAAAACGACAACAGTCAACTACCCTACTAAATACGATATTAAACGACTTGTCCCACGAACCATTTCCTAGTACCCTGATTGATTTTCTAAAACCGTTTTAATGACCATGCCCATGACCATGGCCGTGACCGAACACGGGCGCGACGATTTGGCTCCTCTGGTTGTTGTTCCCTTCGCCGCCGCTGACGTCATCATCGTTGTTACCGTTGCTGTTTCGATTCTCGAGTTGCTGTTGCCACATGGACGCATAGAACCCGGCCTGCGCTAGGAGGGCTTCATGGCTGTTTAGATTAAAGAATCGACATTACTGTACAAATATTTACATACCTACTACATTTAAAATAGAACCCGCAATTTCATGTGTTTTGATGCTTGAAGGCTGATGCTTGAAGGCATTACTGGTGGCAGGGCGTTTTATGAGCCCGCGCGGGTAGGTACCACCACCCTATCTAGTTCTGCTGTGTAGCAGTAATGCGTTTCGGTTTGAAGGGGGTCGGTAGTGCAGATACTGCAAAATTGGAACTTAGAACTCATGTCCCATGTGGCGGCATTACCGTTGACGCTGCCTATGGGCTTCGGTGACTATTAAATTTCAGGTGGGCCGTGAGCTCACTTATCTATATAAACATTTTAAAAAATTGCCTCAAAGCAGGGCATACGTTAATTCTGAAAGGTAGGGTAACTGAATGCAATATAATTACGTCTTCGACGCTGTCTCCAGAAACCAAAAGTAGCTACCATATTCCTTTTTTTTATTTTTACCGTACGTACGTACGTAATATGTTCACGGAAGACTGTCACGTGAGGGAAATATAATGGGTACGCAACAAAAAAAAAACCCACAAAATGAAAAAAATTGTGGAATTAATAATTGTAGGGTGTGAGCCCGCACAGATAAGTACAGTCGTCTTGCGTAATTCTGCCGCGAAGTAGTCTCGATAGCATTCTTTTTTTTTAAATATAAGTAACGAAAAAACACTCACTTTCCACGTTCGATAATCTCGCCGTCCTTAAGGACCAGTATTTCGTCGGCATGAATGATCGTTGAGAGCCTGTGTGCAATTATAAGGGTAGTTCTGTTCGCGCACACTCGTGCCAACGCGGCCTGAAAAAGGTTTGTGTTCATTTAAGTTTCATTTCCACTCTTATCGTATGGTGGCGATGCGTGTAAATCTTATAGGCTAATTGGTTTCTCGTCTTGTACATTTCTTTTTTTTTTTTATTGCTCTTGTAGGCAGACGAGCGTTCGGCCCACCTGAGGGTGAGTGGTTACCGTCGCCCATGGACTTCAGCAAGGCCAGGGGCAGAGCCAAGCCGCTGCCTACAAACTCTGGTGCAAAAATCGTTTGTGATTGCTCTGTGAGATAGTTCATCATATGTTTATCTTGTCCTTTGCTTGTATTTCCGGCACAGATAACATATAATAATATCCTGCATGGGATTATTTAATGTGAAGCGTTAATTTTTCTCTCGATAAAAGTAAACATTCTAAACTCGACAGTAATACATACATCGATAGCATTTAGCCTATGAGAGAAGAAGATAAAATACTTTTGACGGTTTTGCTTCTACCGCGTTTGACATTGCACGCACATTTTGCGTTACTAGTGTAACTCGGTTACAGTCCACTATCGCTAATTGAATGAACATTTTCTCATGATTTCGGAACAAACATAGCGAGAAATTAATCGACCAAATCGATCGGTAAAGGGTTCTCAATTGTTGCTCCGTCGTACATGTAGCGATTATGATTGAAGTATATTTAGAAGACTTATGCTTACTTGAATATTTCTTTCTGTGTTCGTGTCCAGCGCAGAAGTAGCTTCGTCGAGCAGGACAATGGCGGGATCTTTTAAGATCGTTCGTGCAATAGCTATTCTTTGCTTTTCGCCACCGCTCAGCCTAAGGCCCCTTTCTCCAACCTAAATTAAAATTGGTTATAACGATGTTTAATGGCATCAGACAGAATTGGGGCAACTTCTAACACAAGTTATGAACTGTATGCGCGCGAGTTCATGTCCATCGGGGCCAGAGGCGACGCGCGGGGGACATCTCGCCCCACCTTCGCCCGCCCCCCGCATTTGTCTGACGTCGAGTGTTGTCCGTGACGGTTGTGACGCACGCTTTTCGATATCGAAAATTTACGCTAACGCTATTGTGTTATTTAACCACGACTACTCCGCTTCCAACAAGTTCAGGTAGAAAAAAACCTACTGAAAAAAGATAAATACTGATTCCGAGTCTGATCTGTCGGTTGCTTTTTCATTTGATAGTGATTGAATTGGAATTTAAAAAATATTTTTCTCAATTAGAAATAAACAAGTAATTATTTATATCATTTATTTTATTTCATAAATTGCAAAATTACCTTAAGTTACATTAAACCAAATTAAATTGACTGCTGTTGACTAAATCGGTAGTTATTATTGACATTACCATAATTATTATAACTAGGTCACAGCAGTACTGCATTCCTCAGGATGGGCATGAACTCGCGCGCCTACTGTATGTGTGTATTAGTAGAGATATTTTAGCTTAGTTAAAAAAAAACAATTACATATTTTGTCAAACGGTACGTAAGGACCGTCTGAGGATTTTATTTTTGGCAGTCACCTATTGTTCGATATATTGATGATGCATACGTATCGTTTGATAAACGCGTCTAAGTTACCCTATACCAAACCAAGCATTCGGAAAAAATTAAAGTTCGAAATACCTGCGTATCGTAAGCGTCGGGAAACGTCAGTATTCGGTCGTGAATGTCCGCGTTCTTGGCGGCAGATATTATATCAGCGGCGGGCGCGTTCAATCTTCCGTATTGAATGTTGTATCTACAGCGAAAAAGTGGTTAATGATCTGACTATTGTATTTCGGAATCTGTTTTTTTTTTTCTTATTGCCAGTAGTAGGGGTTATTCAAATTTCAACAATGCTTCGCTGAATCTCTCAGCAAATCGGAATTAAGGCCCACTGAGAAGATCTGTCGAGAAACTCAGTGCGTTGTCTATAGGTCGGGGTTAGATACACAGTGAACATATTTGCTAACTTTATTAATTATCGTGGTTCCAAGTATCTGAGATCGCAAGATGTGAGCATCCACTGATAAATACCACCATTTGGTTATAAGTGTTTGTTATTGCTTAAATTGTTGGCGAACTTACGGCCCGCCTGTTGTTACTAGACCCATTGAAATCAACAACGTAAATGCAGCCAATTACCGTGAGGGACACGAGTTTTAAGAGTCAGTTTTTACAATACTTTTAATAGTATGATTGCCCCAAAGCAGTCCTATGTGTGTTGACCTATAGGGGGCTTGTAGCAAAAATAAAAGTAAACATGTGATACGGCCTATATCAGGGGTTCCCAAACTTATTTTGTCTACTGCCCACTTTGAGAATAAATTATTATTTAGCGCCCCCATTTTTTTCCATCTACTTAAAAACCTATAGCGAGAGCTCAGTCGGTGTTTCAGAGAGAGAGAGTTACAAATCGCCTCCCAAGCCTCTACACAACACCCCCATTTTCTATTTGGGTCTCATACAGCCCACCTTTAAGCCTGCAGCACCCACAAGGGGGCGTTATCGCCCACTTTGGGAAAAGCTGGTCTGTATGAATTGTCGTTTCGATAGAAGCCTTTTTTTACTGGTTACTATTTCTGCCGTGAAGCAGCAATGCGTTTCGGTTTGAAGGGTGGGGCAGCCGTTGTAACTATACTTGAGACCTTAGGACTTATATCTCAAGGTGGGTGTCGCATTTACGTTGTGGATGTCTATGGGCTTCAGTAACCACTTAACACCAGGTGGGCTGTGAGCTCGTCCACCCAAAGAGCAATAAGGTTGATTGATACCTGACGGTGTTGTTGAAGAGCACCGTGTCCTGCGGCACGACGCCGATGTTGGCGCGCAGCGAGGCCTGCGTGACGGTGCGCACGTCCTGCTCGTCCACCAGCACGGCGCCCTCGTTCACGTCGTAAAAACGGAATAATAGACGCATTATCGTCGATTTTCCCGCTCCGCTGGGCCCGACCTGAAGAATACGATATATTAAAGACCAATTTATTTATTTTCAAAATAGAATTAATTAACTACATTATTATTTATATTGTGAACGCAGGACGTGTGGCGATTATATACACAGGATAGTGGGCGGTGGATTGGCGGCGTGCCTTAGGAGGGTTCATTATTCAACACTGAACTTTAATAAACTAAATTTGAAACGAAATCAAATATTTTTTCTGTAAACGGTTGTATTTTAACAATTTATTAATTGTAACATTTGTTTATGGATGTCACACGTTATGTATTATCGGCGTTTAGCTCGTAAATTTTAGCCCCAAATGACGTCACAAATAATATAATAATAATAACTCTTTATTTGACACCACATGTACAGAGTAAGCATATAAAACAAATAATAATAGATGGTGACATAAATTGGCGGCCTTATCGCTGAAAGCGATTTCTTCCAGGCAACCTTGCAGGGAGAGGAATAAGCAAACTAGCATGGACGGTGCTATATATTAATAAACTTACATAAAAATATATACACATGTGAAAAATAAATACAATATGCAAGTAAATACAAAATAAAATGAGTAGCAACTTATACAGTTATATAGTTACATTCAATTGCGGTTTGCGAAATTCAATTGTATACATATAAATACTGACCAATGCAACTGTGCTTCCGGGGGCGATTTTAAAACTGATGTTGTTAAGGACGAGCCTCTCGGAGCCGTATCCGAAGGACACGTGCTTGAACTCGACTCCGCCGCGCCGCACCACCAGCTCGGGCGCCCCGGCCGCGTCGCGCACGTCCGTATCCACCCTCAGCAGGTCGAACATGTTCTCCATGTCCACGAAATTCTTCTGTATAGCTCTGTGGAAATTATCAGTACATTTTTATTATTATTATTTTTTATTGCTTAGATGGGTGGACGAGCTCACAGCCCGCCTGGTGTTAAGTGGTTACTGGAGCCCATAGACATCTACAACGCAAATGCCGCCATATACCTTGAGATATAAGATCTAAGGTCTCAGTATAGTTACAACGGCTGCCCCACCCTTCTAACCGAAACGCACTACTGCTTCACGGCAGAAATAGGCAGGGTGGTGGTACCTACCCGTGCGGACTAACGAGAGATCCTACTACCAGTAAAATTATTCACATTGATGAGTTCCGATATCCACTATTTACTATTTTTTATTTTTAACATTTTTTTGTAAAGCCACCAAATGGGCCGCGAAATTTTGCAATCATTAACAAAAAAAAGAGAGCATCCCTATAAATTTTCAACATAAGTAAAAACGCTATTGTGAAACTGAGATTCCTCTGGTACCGTCTCAAGACGAGCTACCTCATAATGAACGTATCGCAAGCTAGGCACTTTTATAGGGTAGGAGGAAGATAAGGCATCTTAGTCACACACTGCACTGTTCTGCTACGAACTTGTTAGACCATTTACCATTTCAAATCCGCGATTGAAAGAAGTGATTAGAATTTTATTTGTTATACGGGTAACGTCACAGAGGGTTTTAGCACAAACCACCTCAAAAACCGATCTCTTCAAATTTGGTTATTGTAAATTAGGGTTACCAGTGCAAAAAAGTTTTTTTAGCCGTCCTTGCAGCCCATAGATATAGAGACCATTTTTTCGATATGCCACAGATTAGTATAACACTCGTAAAACTGTAAACGAGTCTAACCTGTAATATGTTCCGAACCAATTCAAGGGAACGTAAAGCTGCACTATGTACGACGCGAACAAAGCGTAGTCACCGACAGTGAATTCAGCCGTCTTCACCACCAACGACACGCAGAGCAACGAACCGGCGAGTAAGCCTGCAAACAAAATATAATTTTATGAAATTCAAAAATATACCTTTGTTTCAACCGACCTCACTGTGTACATTCTTACTGTGTATTGACCGTGGAGTGGCACGAAGACATGTGTGTTTGTTAATATAAAGTTGAAATAATAGGATTATAACTAATATTAAAACCCTTTTTTATGGCGCTATATAGGCAAACTAAGTACTTATGGACTTTTTTTACTTCGTTTTTTTTTGTTTTTTTTTGTCTTTTTTTTCTGGAACTCGTAATTTTATTTTTATTTGTAGTTTTTTGTTTTTATTCGTAATCTGTAATTTTGATTTCAATAGCCAATTTTGTAGGCTCGCTCGCTATGTACATTAATACGGGTTTGCTGAGTGCGTATATAATTTAAATTGCAATCCAGGATTAGATTTAGGTACTATTTGTACGATTTAGCTAATATGTAATGCACTGTAATGGTTGTGATTTGTGGCCAATGACCCGCTGCTGTTAAGCGGTAATATACATCACAAATTGAATTCTGCCACCAACCTTGATAGTTGAGGTGGTCTAAGTTGAATAGTAGGAGGAAGAAGTCTAAATTCCGTGGTGATTAGGTAAATCACAATACCTAATTATTGCGGGTTTCATTTTTATGAGACGGATTCGAATACCGCTCTAGTCGCATTACTCGACACGAGTGCGATTCTACAATATCGATACGAGATAGGTAATCCTGCATTGCACTAATAAAATGTAAAATCACATGTTTCTACTTTCCGATTACCAAAAGCCTTGTGTCGTCGACGCAACCACGTGCTAGTACAATTCTAGAAAAACTTAAACAATACTAAATCCCAAACAATAATCCAAAATGGTGTATGCAAAGCCCTTTGTAGTTAGCGATTATCAATCATGATTGACGTTTTTTTATCTGTATTAAAATTGATATAGTCAAAACCAATTACGCGAATAAAGCAAATTGCTGTGAAACAAATGATAAGTATACAAAAAAATCCATAAATAAATTCAATAAGGAGACGAGAATTTTCAAAACCAAGGTTATTTTTTTACAATTGGGGTATTTTTGAATAAATATTATATTTTGTTATTATTATTATGGATTAACTTACCGCTGCAGATGATGATATTTTGAATGGTGTTCAAAATGTTTAATGTGAACAATGATTTAAACTCTTCTTTCTGAAAAACAAAATAAAGACCCCTCAGTTTTGGAATTAAATTAAGTGTTAAATAACAAATAACATTAGTACGAACTATAGCGTATATATCGAGTGACTTGGATAGCTTGTTGTGTTAACGCCCAAACCACTGAACAGATTTTGACCAAAATTCAGCCCACTGCCCACGGCCCGCTTAATATAAAGTCTATACGAGATAAAACTATGACTAGCACTATACAGGCCAGACAAGGGAAGCCGCGTGTGGAAGCCTGATAACATAATATTATTGTGAATTCATGTACCACACCATATGCAGTCAATACTTTTTTGGACGGCTCAATATACCTTTGTACTCTTGTTTATCTTTATATTATATAGTTCTATTGTATATATTATATTACTCTATATGAGGTGGTAGGACCTCTTGTGAGTCCGTGCGGGTAGGTATCACCACCCTGCCTATTCCTGCCGTGAAGCACTAATGCGTTTCGGTTTGAAGGGTGGGGCAGTCGTTGTAATTATACTTGAGACCTTAGAACTTATATCTCAAGGTGGGTGGCACATTTACGTTGTAAATGACTATGGGCTCCAGTAACCACTTAACACCAGGTGGGCTGTGAAGCTCGTCCACCCATCTAAGCAATGTAAAAAGAGTTAATGAGCTCACCCACCTTGAGACATGAGATCATCATAGTCTCCTAACTTTAGAAGTATGTTATTTTTTTCTGACCTGATAATTAAGGATGGCTTCTCTATAAGACATCACTTCATAAGATTCCGCTCCGTAATATTTAACAGTCTCGTAGTTCAACAGAGAGTCGACCGAGCGAGCCTTCTGCTCGTTGTCGGCGAGATTCATGCGACGTTGGAACTTCGTGCGCCATTCCGTCACTGCTATTGTTGCGACTGAAATATTAGATTGTTTTTTTTTTGTTAATAGACATCTAAGTGGTAAATACTTTTTTTTTTGCTTAGATAGGTGGACGAGCTCACAGCCCACCCGGTGACATAAATTCCAAGGTCTCAGCACAGCCACAACGGTTGCTCCACCCTTCAAACAGAATAGCATTACTGCTTCACGGCAGAAATAGGCAGGGTGGTCGTACCTACGCCCGCGGACTCACAAGAGGACCTACCACCGGTTAAGTTGTAAACAGATCAAATTAGCTCGCTGTACTCTTAGCTAATGTTCTTGTGTTAAAGATATTGAAAGCATACAATGCAAAAACACCGGGTTAATTAACAACAGATATATTGTTATAATGACACTAACCGAGAAACGAGCTAGCAAACGAAGTGATTAAAAAAAACGCACACACACAAAAAGTATAAATCACAACTATTTTCCTAAAGAAATTAAAAAAAAAAAGTTCACTCTTAGCACAATTTAATATCTATTGACGCGCGGAGCTGTCTCCTACAAGCAGGACCGTTCCCCGCCTGCGATGTATGTTTGTTCGCTTTACATTGAGCGTTTACGAAATACTATTGATAGGTGGTGGTAGGACCTCTTGTGAGTCCGCGCGGGTAGGTACCACCACCCTGCCTATTTCTGCCGTGAAGCAGTAATGCGTTTCGGTTTGAAGGGTGGGGCAACCGTTGTAACTATACTGAGGACTTAAATCTTATATCTCAAGGTAGGTAGGCGGCATTTACGTTGTAGATGTCTATGAGCTCCGGTAACCACATAGCACCAGGTGGGTTGTGAGCTCGTCCACGCATCTATGTAATAAATAAAAAAAGATATGTCCTTGGATTGAGAAAGCTCGTATTTGTCATATTAAGTCGTTATGGACTAACGGATAAGAAGGCCGGTATACTCTTTTTGAGCGATGCGGCTGGACTGATGTTCGAATACCGCAGGTAGGTAACATTTTTTTCTAACAAACTACACACGTAACTTAAAGTGACTTATACTTGTGTACTGTTAAAATGATTGTTCTCAAAATAAACCATTTATAATGCTTTTGAACTAAATTTGTGCTAATCGCATTTTATTTCATGAAAACGATAATTTAAACTTACTAATATACAGGATCATTGTAGTAAAAACGATTAGTCCGAACCAAATATTGAACGCCGTGACAAAGTAGATGACTGCCACCAAGATATCGACCAGCGTTGGAGTGATAGAGAACAGAATGTACGAGAGGAGATTGTTTATGGAATCCGTTCCTCGGTCCATCACCCTGAGGACTTCTCCGGTTTTGCGAGACAAATGCCAGCGTAAAGGCAAATCATGGAGATGCTTGAACAGTTCCAGCTGCAATGTAAAGCAAAATATTTAAGTCATAAAATATTAAAGTCAAAGAATGTGGTCTCTTAATCATACTTCCAATTTTGATACAAAATGATCGTGGTACATTTCTTTATATTTTATATACAGTTTTTTGAATTTCCATAAAGCTATCGATTGGGGAAATTATGACATGTGTTTTGAGGTCCAAATTTCATGCCCATATGAAACAAACAATGCAAAAACAAAATGATGGCCCGATATTATGTTATTATATCAAATTAATTCTGCACACGTTGTAAAAGTAGGTCTGTCTGTCTGTAAGCTGTCCGCAAACGTATAGACAACACAGTGAAGTTTGTTAAAATTCGATTATATTGACATTTGTTTAAATATGGAAAGTAGGTGTGTAGATGTCCTGTAGATGTCGATTAATCTCCAAATATCTCAATATTTCTCTAGATGACAGATAAGCATGCAATTTTTTTAAATTGCCAACCTCCACTAGCGTAGTGCCGTTTTGAGAAGACGAAATGTTTTATATTTTACACATCCTGACATTTAAATATCTTCTTACCTCCAACTCTCTTGTGGTGTATTGTTGGACCTTGATCCACAAAAACGAACGCATATTATTCAATAAACCCATTCCGCCGGTACCCCCTCCTTGGAGGAACTTGAAAAACACATATATCAATACCAGATCCCAGCGGAAGGAGAGAGGCGGTTCTGATATGCTGTTAACTGTAAAATGATAAAATACATTTCAAACATCAAAACGGTTTTCATTAATATAGCATTTTTACATACATTAAAAAAAAAGTTAGTCAAATGATCAGGGGTTCAAATCGTCCGACGAGATCATTGACCTCGCGCGTCAGCTGATCTTCAACTACGTTACGTGCATAGTAAACCAAATGTGAATATTATAGGTAGTGTTATCACCATCATTTACTTTCATTTTCGAGAACCAATTCAATACGTCCCTGTTATTATATTGTATTTATTTTTGATATTGATTTTAAAGAAATAATTTAAGTAGGCTTATCAAAAGCTGAACCGGCTTAATGTTTCATGTAGGGATTGACAGAGCTCGCTCTGTCCCTTTCCCGCAATGTAAGCTTGATATACAATTATAGAAAAATTAATTAGAAACAACATTTCTCAGTATAACTAGCATCTATGATGAAATTAAAATGATTATGATTTCTTCTCTCCGAATAGATTTAGAGTGAGTTTTCAAAATATCGCGTTTTAGGACTCCATATTTCAAGGATTCCAGCTGCATGTAATTCAAACATCCTTAAATTTGTTTTGTAATATTCAATTTCAGAGAATTACTTACATATCAGCCTGTTGTATATAGGGACGTATAGATTGATAGCTCTTCCAGCGATGAGAGCCAGTATACATATGAGTACATAGAGTTGGAGGATGAAATTCTTCTTCGGCCACAGGAATGGAAGGAGTGTGCGCAATTTCGTAAAAACATTTCTGAACGTCGATCTGTTGTCATCCTGACGACAAAGAATGTTTGATATGAATTTGATGTTGAACGTTTGCGGTTCGGACAGCAATGCATTATGTACAAAACAACTGGCGGGTTGACCGCTCGTCTGGCCTGTACCACAAAATTTCTCTATTCTTCTTCAACGAGTGTGTAAGATGAATGGTACGTAAGTTTTCATTAGGGTTGTGTTTTAGTACAAAATGTATACGCACTACCTTCCAAAACGCACTGAGCAGGTAGATACGAACAATATTCGCATAAGTAATAATTAAACCAGAGTTACAGGGAGAAAATGCAGAAATATCGCTAGTGACCTATATGATGATTTATTTTAATAAAATTAACGGTCAAATCTCACTGGAGTGTACAAATAAAAGTAGTGCTCCATTGACGGAACATCTAATAAAAACAGTAGTGACTTATTGTGATTTGTTAATCGATTATTTATTTTTTCATAAACATATACATTTCAGGAACACATCAAGACTTTTAATATCTCTGTCAAACTGTATATTTCTCGCAAACGTTATGAAATGTAATATGGTAAGAAGTCAGATAATTTTTCACGTTAAAACAACCTTTAATTTAAATTTGATATCTTGATCTTCTGTTTTCACACTTAAATGATTTTGAAATGGACATGACATTTTAAATTACTCAAAACTGTTCAAGATGATAAATGTCGTGAAAGAGAGATTTTTTATTCATCAAAAAAGTTTTCTATATCAAATTAAATTTTAAAAATTCTAATACTCTTTTCTTTAGAGTTGTAAATGCTTCGTCGTTCAAGGGCCGTATCCAATAAAGCTTGTTATCACATAACACAACGTAAATACCCCAGCCTACTTCGAGATCGTAATCTCGCATCTACTGTAGGTATGTCTCATCAAAACGAATGAAATGTTCTTCTCGGTAAATAGCAGAATACGTAGTGCAATTAATCATTACAAATACCACGCAGTCAAAGAGCGAAGCGGGTTTTTATTCGATAGGGGTTCATCCACCCAAAAAATCTAATTTACACTGCGAACTTGACCCTCCCTTGCATTTTTTTAGGTGGGTGGACGAACTTACAGCCCACCTGGTGTTAAGTGGTTACTGGAGCCCATAGACATCCACAACGTAAATGCGCCACCCACCTTGAGATGTAAGTTCTAAGTTCTCAAGTATACTTACAACGGCTGCCCCACCCTTCAAACCGAAACGCATTACTGCTTCACGGCAGAAATAGGCAGGGTGGCGGTACCCACCGGCGCGGAGTCACAAGAGGTCCTACCACCAGTAACTCGTTCATTTCTCGTAAAAACTTTGGATATGTTATCTGCAAATAGATATCGCATAGAAACTCTTTCGTTTGTTTCCGCTTATGCAACTCTTGAATACTCACGCGTGGCTGTATATTCCTTCGGCCTTCGTGTTCGTCCTCTAAGTAGTCGAAGTGGTGCATGATGCCCGGCGCCTTCATACCGAGCACGAACATTATCATACACGACACGTAACGACCGACGAACAATGACATTTCGAGGCGATCTTGAAGACTGAGAATGTTAAAAAACTATTATCTATACTAATATTATAAAGAGGAAAGATTTGTTTGTTTGTTTGTTTCGAATAGGCTCCGAAACTACTGGACCGATTTGAAAAATTCTTTTTCCATTAGAAGCCGACATTGTCCCTGATGAACATAGGCTACTTTTTTTAAATTTCTTTTTATTTTATTTTTTTGGTTTCATGTGTGTTTTAATGTTTCCGAAGCGAAGCGAGGGCGGGTCGCTGGTAAGTTAATACAATCGTTCTCTGTTTAAAGTAACAAGTTTTTTTTTCCACCTAAGCTGATTGCCTTGAGGTGTAACCTTAACGTACCCTAATGTAGGTGAGCTATCGGAGCTCAAACAAGGATGCGTTGCTAATACTGGGTCTAGCAAGAGCACCGGATCAAGCAATCTACCACCGGATCGGAAACGCGACCCACTGAGAAGATCCGAGAAACTCAGTGGGCTGTGTCTATATGTTAATTTACTCGCCGAACCCTTTGTCACAAGCGACGGTTTTGACGAGAAACGTAAAAAGGTTTCAAATTTACGGTTTGATAATTAGTTTATTAAATTACTCAGCTCGAAAGTTCTTGCAAAAGCTTTTCGCTGCTGAGCTTTGCAGTTAGCTTAGGGACGATACGCGGCTCTCATTTCGAACATGAGCTAAAATTATGGATTTTTAATAAATGTGTGGTCACTATTATTATGAAAGACGAATATACAATCTTGATACTTTGCGTCGAAGTGTTAGTTACATTAAAATAACAACTGTATAGTCAAATGTATTTTCGGCCGTTTTGGGAGTAATAAAACATAATTAAATCTAATTTTAAGGCCAAAAACTGTAAAAAGATTCAAAAAAAACTGGAGATTAAAACGTAATAGTAAGTAGTGTTAATAACGACTGTACTTATTCTTAAATTCCGTATACATTACTTATTTCCATAAAATTCGGCTCCTATTGGTGTTAGAATAAGATACTATACTGATATTATCGTTAAGGTATTGGCAATGTGAAAAAAGGTAAAAGGTAATCAAAAATATTAGAGTTGTCTTCAAACTTAATCCAATCCAATCCAATAGGTGTCGAACTATTTTAAGCACCTAAGCGGCTTAGTTTCGAGTTACGTTGAACTACATACAAATATCCTGTAAAACATTGATAGCAATAGTATTTCTGTACGATATGAGGACAACGCGGTTCACTTGTTTAATAACACTAAAATTCAATATTATAATATGTGCTGTACTAAAACCAACTTCATCCATTTAATTAAGGTTCTCGATTAGAAACATTTCCAATACGGAGTATGTTTATTTTTTATTTTAACCATACTTGATGTATTCATTTTATTTTGTACGTTTTATAAATACCTATATATATATATATATATATATATATATAAAGTCTTCTTACATATGACTCATTTAATTAAGAGGTGATTCCCGTAATTTTACTCGTGGTGGGACGTATAGTTTTTGAAAGCGAAACATTCATTTCGACTCGAAGGTGATGCTCAAGGTAGGCGGCGACGTTTTAGTTGTAATATCTATGGACTCCAGTTACCACTTAAGGTCAATAAACCTGGCTTTTAAATCAATAATTTACTAAGCTCTTTATATAGCCGCGCTATGTTGCACCATTGTCGCGATCGTGCCATAGACAACCTAGGTACACTAATTGAATCTTATCGAACGTCAACAAGGTGATCAATTATTTTATGTACTTACTTTTTTAAGTGCCACCACCATCCTTCTTTGTTGATATTCAAAAATGATAAATTCTCCGATACGAATATCATAGCCCAAAAAACCAAGAGTACAAAACCGTGACCTCTAGGAGGCACGGACGGTAATAAGAACCTCCTCTCGAGGATCGCTAAGTAGGCCGACAATGGAAATACTACCAGAGTAACTGTTAATGCAACTACCTGAAAAAAAAAAAGAATTAAGTTGTTGTTATACCGGACATCAATAATAATTGTCGTTTTCAATAAACATACGCTTTTTAAGTATTGTTATTATCCGGTGAAAATTTGGAACTGTTACTGTATGTGTATGGTCTATTTTCAATCAATTTTTGGTGGAAGGACCTCTTGTGAGTCCGCACGGGTAGGTACCACCGCCCCGCCTATTTCTGCCGTGAAGCAGTAATGCGTTTCGGTTTGAAGGGTGGGGCAGCCGTTGCAACTATACTGAGACCTTTGAACTTATATCTCAAGGTGTGTGGCGCATTTACGTTGTAGATGTCTATGGGTTCCAGCAACCACTTAACACCAGGTGGGCTGTGAGCTCGTCCACACATCTAGGCAATAAAAAAAAAAATCTGAATAAGATACCTAATACAAACGAATTCTTATTTTGGGGGCAAGTATAGTTCTTCAATTGTGTATATAATTTATAAAACCAACTCTATATTTAGTGTTTACTTCAAAGCTTCTTCTATTCTGTTACAGTGCTCCATAGATCTACAGTTAATTTAAATGAAATATATAAACAATAGTAATTATAAAGGTAGTTCAATATTATTTATATAATTTTTCTTACCATATAACCATACACACAACCACTTTTGAACAATAATGCTTGTAACAGAAACCTTATTACAGCCAACACTGGTACTAAAAGAGTAAAAAACATCTGAACTCCAAAAAGCTTCGATGATCGGACATCCATCACCTCAGTGGCATGTCTGGAAAAAAGAATGATGAAATTGATGATTTGCATTGTAGATTGATAGATTTATTACTTACTAGCTGACCCGGCAGACTTCGTAGTGCCTTAATCGATAAATAAAAGACCTAAGCTTTTGTATAAAATAAACTTAAAACAAACAAAAGGAATCCGTCCGACGGGGCATACGTCAAAGGAAAAACAAAATTGTTATTTTTATTTAATTCGGAGCATTTTCATATTTATCTACCTTTTAAACCTTCTCTGGACTTCCACAAATAATTTAGGACTAAAATTAGCCATATCGGTCTAGCCGTTCTCGAGTTTTAGCGAGACTAACGAACAGCAATTCATTTTTATATATAGAAGAAGAAGATAGAAGAAGAAGAAGATAAAATTTAGAGTTTGTTTAGAAGATTATTCGTGATTTTTTATCAAACAACAAGTATGGATTAAATTGGCCACTCAGCATAAAATTTACCAAAATCTATAAAGCATTTGCTATATAAATGTGCCACTAACACTATGATTATATTTTGTGGCCTGCATACAGACTATATTGGCAGGATGATTATTGTTTGAATGCTCTTGAAACTTATCTGATTCTTAAAATAACTTCAAATTCTAAAAAGATTTACAATCAAAAGTAAAATGAAAAGTTCAGACAAAGCCTGGATCTTCATATTGCAAACCATGACATCATATTGATATGCTATTGTTGTACATATCAGGAGATAAAATTTATGCTATTAACATATTGATTATTGTTCTTATCATATTAACATTGTCAACAGTTCATTATTCATTCACATCCTTGAACAATAAAACTCCTACAGAACAATTTCTAAACTAACACCGATTACTGAGAATAAACAAGAATTCCACGTGACCACAACTGTTCTGCCAAGAGTAACCGACAATGATGACACTTATAGTTGTTATAGCACAATTAGACTGAGGCTAGCACATTTCGGATGCTCCCAGTTCAATATCAGGGCTTTTAGGCAATCCAAGCAACTGACACTGTTCCCTGCAAATGCCACTAAGGGACACAGCCCACTGGGTTTCTAGCCAGATCTCTGTGTTTCGATTCTGTGGTAGATTCAGAGAAGCACTGCTCTTGATTAGGCAGGTATTAGCAGTTTCCAAGGCTGAATCCTGTGAGCCTACACGTTGGATGAAGCTAACATAGCCTCATACAATACATGACGCAAATATATAGGGAAACGATCTCACAGCCCACCTCATATTAAATGGTTACCAGAGCCCATAGATAGACAAATCAATGAGAATGTTGAAGCTTATTTACATCTTACAGTAAATCTCTAGTCTTATTAATAACTAGCTGNCAGTTTCCAAGGCTGAATCCTGTGAGCCTACACGTTGGATGAAGCTAACATAGCCTCATACAATACATGACGCAAATATATAGGGAAACGATCTCACAGCCCACCTCATATTAAATGGTTACCAGAGCCCATAGATAGACAAATCAATGAGAATGTTGAAGCTTATTTACATCTTACAGTAAATCTCTAGTCTTATTAATAACTAGCTGTACTAGGGCATTTAAAAAATGCAAGTATATGCAGATAGCCCATCTGATGTTAAGTGGCTACAGAAATACAAACATGACAAAGACAAGTATCATTTCAGTTGAGGTTTCATTGTGTAAATTACTATTTCAATCTTTTTAAATGTTTGTAGCAGAAATTGGGATGATGGTCATTCTGCACCTAACTTTCAAAGACATAAATCTCACAATTTTACTGGTACCTCTTGTGAATCCGCACAGGTAGGTACCACCACCCTGCCTATTTCTGCTGCAAAGCAGTAATGCGTTTCAACTTGAAGGGTGTTGCAGCCGTTGTAATTATACTGAGACCTTAGAACTCACATCTCAATGTAGCATATATGTTGTAGATGTCTATGGGCTTTAGTAACCCTTAACACCAGGTGAGCCGTCAGCTTGTCCACTCATCTCTGCATTAAAAAAATACCAATACCATAATTTACCAGTAGTTTAATGAGTTTAAAATATTGAATGGAAGAAAAAGAAAAAAGAATAAATACCTTTTGTAAATAACAATTTGTGTGGTTCCCAAGACCAATAGGAATCCACCTATGAACACAGCAGATACGGTCTCCATGAAACATTGTGATATGCCGTGATCCACCCATATCTCTCCAAGTGTCACATTTGGAGGACAATACTTCATCATGATTACTGAAAAAATAATATCACAAAGTCATTTGCAGCTGACAGCTTATGATGTAGGTAGACCTATTAGACACTGGTGACGGGGTATATGGTAAGCCTGCAAGGATAGGTATGATCACGCTGCATATTTCTGCTGTGAAGCTGTTATGCATACCAGTTTCAAAGGTGGAGCAGCAGTTATACTATACAATTGAAACTTAGAACTTTTGCTCAAGGTAAGAAGTGCCTATGTTATAAAATATTCTAAGCTTTCTATTTTTATAACTATATTCTATGATCTATCTTCAAATAAAAATTTAAAGGTACATATATTAATATTAAACTTTAGATATTATTGTAATTTCGGCATGTTAATACATTAAGATCTCATTTTTTTAATTCTTTACAAATTAAACATTAGTTATGGGAGTACATATTATGAGAAAGTACAAAACAACTTATAATGATTAGCATTTTCTGTTATTAGGTATTCATTTTAACCTTGATTAAATATAAAATATTATTATCTAAGTCACTAAGTTGTATTTAATGTTGTATGTATATACTTCGTATGTATTTTGTTACGCGACTTTTATCTATTTTAATTTATCTATTATTGGTTACCTATTTTTATTATTATAATCACCTCTTGGCTTAACACTGCTATTCACTTTGCATCAGCAATTTCACACATGCCGGCTAATTCAAAACGTCGCGAATGTAATAAAAAATATTATGGAATAAATCGCAGTAGTAATGACAGTTGACAATGTTAAAATGCGAAATAACATGAACTTAGCCACATTTCAGTTCCATTTTTACAACTGGAATGGCGAAGGTAACAAACCATACAAGCAAATTTGCATATTCTGTTTTATGAAAAATGTAATATGAACCAAAATGAAATGAAGTTGATCAATTTGAGAAATTAATTATTTGGGATAAAATGAAACGAAACAATATGAAATGCGATAAAATATAGTCCCAGTAAAATGATGGTTATTTTCTTTTCTTATAGACTTTTTCAGTGCACTTTTTGGAAGATCTCGAGAAGCTACGTCCACTGGCTTTGTTTCATTTTTTCACATTTAATACCGGTTAATAAGTCACCATTATAACTCACATCTAATATCACATTTATGCCTGAACACTAAATTAACAAAATAACAAACCACAAAACTTCGCTCCTTGCGTTTCCGCCAATAAGTCTCAGTTCATATAATATTTTTTGAAATTTGGTGAAACTGGTGCTAATTTCAAAATTCAAGGCAATTGGAATCAATTTGGGTTTAATTTGTAAAATTGAAACACGGAACAAAACTCATATATTGTTTATCAAAATAAAATGAAAATTTTAAATACTTTCTCATCACGGTATGTATTTATCGAGACATCAATAACTTTTTGGGAGAACTGTTTTTTTATGATATTTTCCGAATTTCATGAGGATTATGGCTTTGACGAAAACGCCGCAGAAAACATTTTTATCTGGATTTTCGGCCTGTTAGAGAACTTATGGCAGTCGTGAAGGTGGAAGTCGTCGTGGCCTCTGGGATAAGACGTCCGGTGCATTCGTGTTGAGCGATGCACCGGGTTCGAATCCCAGGCGGGTACCAATTTTTCTAATGAATTACGTACTCAACAAATGTTCACGATTGACTTTCACGGTGAAGGAATTACATCAATCTATCTTCTATCTATCTTTAAATATAAAAATGAATTGCTGTTCGTTAGTCTCGCTAAAACTCGAGAACGGCTTGAGTCTTGACCGATTTGGTTAATTTTGGTCTTGAATGATTTGTGGAAGTCCAGAAAAGGTTTAAAAGGTCAGTTATATATGAAAATGCTCGGAATTAAATAAAAATAACAATTTTGTTTATTCCTTTGATGTGTCCCCCGTCGGACGGATTCGTTTTGTTTGTTTTAAGTTTATTTTATACAAAAGTCTGTTATTTATCGGTTGAGGCACTACGAAGTCTGCCGGGTCAGCTAGTCGTGTAATAAAAATGAAACCTGCAAAATTATAATTTGCGAAATTGCTGGAGGTAGGACCTCTTATGAGGAAGTACCACCACCCTGCCTATTTCTGCCATGAAGCAGTAATGCGTTTCGGTTTGAAGGGTGGGGCAGCCTTTAGTAACTATACTGAGATCTTAGAACTTATATCTCAAGGTGGGTGTCGCATTTACGTTGTAGATGTCCATGGGCCTCAGTAACTACTTAACACCAGGTGGGTTGTGAGCTCGTCCACCCATCTAAGCAATAAAAAAAGGCATTAGCAAATTAAGTTATTGAAAAATTAAGCAAATTTCTTTGCGGATTTCATTTTTATTACATGTTGTCAGTCCTTCATCATAGAAGTTGAGCATAGCGACATGCTCACATCTCACATCTCATTCTCATTCATCATTATAAGTTTTGATTAAATATTAAAATGTTATGGTTAAGCATTATTTGTGAAAAAATTTGGGGTCAAATGTTTTTTATACGTTTCGGTGGCGTTTCTTTTTTCTTGTTATTTGCTAGCTACACCTGTTATGTTAGCATGTGGCGACTGGCACCTGGTCCTTGAAATATCATTAATTGTTTGTACATGATTGTGGTTTGCGGCAAATGTACATAAGTACAGGCATTCTGTGTGTTACGGTGACATGACAATTAAATAATTCATTGTGACATCAGACAGATGACTGTTGTTGACTCTCTAGTCTTTGTCAGTCTGTTTGTAGTCTGTGTCATTCTGTGTGATCCGAGACGTGTGTGAGTCTAGATCCAAATGACGGGTTGAAATGAATTTCATTTTCTGGAATTATAAACTTGTTTTCAACGTCGAATTACTATTTTAAGTGCTTAACATCACAAAAAAATTATTTTAATTCGACTAAAAAGTTGAAATATCTGTTTTTATTTACTTATATGTTATTAAAAATAGTTTTTACGATTGAAAATGTTCAGCATGTGTCACCATTCATCAACATATTCTGTGAAACGGTGAACAGTCGTCATGTGAAGAAGGTTATGACTATCTGGTGGAAGTTGAAATAATTTATTCTGTGAACGTGTTGTGAAACAGTGCTGTTCCTCTTTTCTGGTGGAGGAGGTAAATAAATCCTGTCTCAAAATGGCGGACCTCGAGGCTGTGCTGGCAGACGTGAGCTACTTGATGGCTATGGAGAAATCGAAATGCACTCCTGCAGCACGAGCTAGCAAAAAAATCGTTCTTCCAGATCCAAGGTAAAGTAATGTCTTACATCATGTAGTGTCAGTTAGAGAAACATAAAATAACTTGTTTACAAAATTAATTCTAAATAATTCTTGTTGATGAAATTATAGTTCACTTTGAAACAATATCATCATTAATTTTTCACAGATGAAAAATAATTTTCTCCTTATTTTGATTTTGTTTTATGAGATTTATTTTCAGTTTAATGATAAGAATATACCAATAAAAATTCGTGGGTCAATATCATTTAAATAAAAAATCATTAAGGTAATTTAAGGGAGTTATGGTATCAAAAGTAGAGTTTACTTTGTTAACTAGTCATACATGTTACCAATACAACCAGAGTACAAAAATACACTACCTAAATCAAGGGCATAAAATTCAAAGCAAAACACATACAGATAAAGGTTAAGGTTGTTTTAATACTCTTTTGTTGTTTTTTCATTCTAAATATGAGCTGTTTTCAGATCATGAATTGGTTGCCAAATTAATCCATAATGAGGTTTCTCATTTAACAAACTGTATGTAAATTGTAAATACTAGATCAAATTGCTTTAAGTTCTTTCTCATAGTTCAGTCATCTAAAAAGGCAGTCAATACGTTTTCCTACTTTTATTCCTTTTCATTTTGAGAAGTAAATAATTTGAAAGATAGAAAAATATAAATATGAAACTGAAAAATATTTTATTATTTAAATTGTCTTTACTCATTAAAGGAGTTTTATTTATGTGTGGTCAAGGCTTTTGAATTATTTCACATTGATGATATTAACTTTCCGAATATTTGCATAATGGTAAAAAATGTTTCTTTTCAATACTTGTGGAGTGGAGGTTTTTAACAATTGGCTTTACCTTAAATTCCATGTTCATAACACAAGTAATTCTAGAATATTTTTTATAACTATTTTGAACTACGTACCAGACCATTTCTACCTCAGAATTAATTCAATGATGGTGATCATAAAATAACTGCAACAATAGTAATAGAGTTCGGCAGACAAGTTTGGCTTGATTTATTTTACCATTCTGTTTATTTTTTTATTTGCATTGAAAGCAGATGAACCCATAATCACAGTAAGTGGTTATCATTGCTGCTGATTAGCTACCCCGATACCCATGTATCCTCTAGTGATGTAGTAGTACTCTTTCAGACTGATGGTAATGTAGTTGACCTTGATAGTTAATGCTGTGTGAATTAGTTATTAATTTAAAAGCTGTAACAATACACTCAAAACATACATTTTAATTGTAACAAGGCATCAAGCCTTTGCACATCCTTTTTATATAAAACATACATTATTAAACAATCACTGATTCTATACTGTAATCAGCGTGTCATAAATAGATAAGGCGGAAATCAAAACAACATGTTCTTTATCTTTAGTGCATTCTATTAAACTTAATTTAATGCAATGGCAATATTTAAATATTTTATTCTTATAAAGAAAAACTTGAACTTTGAAGCAAACTTTCTAGGTAAAATTTTTAATGGAGTATGAATCAACTTTCCCCAAAGTGAACTACTACAACTATTTTCTCACCATCCATCTGTAGTGTTGACTTCTACCCTTTGATTCTTTTCCTGTGTAAAGGGTGTATGGCATGTTTCGAGTTTTGAATGTTTAAATACAATTCTGCTCAAAATAAAACATAATTTTCATCTGAAGGATAAAATATATTGTAAAACATGGATTTTATCTAATGTCCTTGAGACAATGTGTACATGCTATTCACAGTTTGGAGTCCAATCTGTTCTGATATCCATTGTTTCTTAGCAATACAATCATCTTTAGCAATACACAAAAACAATACATTTCAGTGTTATAATGTGTAGTGAACTTGTTTACCAAATAGATATGGACAGTTAAAAACAAACAAAATAGGTATCTGCCTAAAGTTACTACAATTGCCATTTACTGTAAGTTTAATAATAAGCCTCAGTTCGCAAATTATGGAAAACATCTGTCAAGGCTTTAATAAACAAGAATTTTCACATGACAATGACTGGTCTGCCAAGAGCAACAGACTATGATGATGATGAAGATGTATATTTAGTTTACATATTAATAATCTAATTATTATGAAGTTTCTATTATAGTAAATAGCAATCCTCATAAAGTTTGGATAATTTATAATTAGTATGGCTGAATCTGGCTGATGACAGCACCTGCCAGTTCTGTATGGAGGATATGCTGCACCATATTTTTTGTGAATGTAACGGTAAGGACAAGATTGAACATTTTGGGCAACAGTCGCGCTGACCAAGATGTCTATAGGCTCTTATCTTCAAACATAGGTTTCATGGAAGTGATGATGGAGTTGAGATGTATCTGATAGTAGACAAAAGATCTCAAGCTGAGGAAATTATTTGGCCAGCCCCTAAAGCGCAAGATAAGATAAGATTAACAGGTATTAAGTGATTAAATGAAACATGAGTTCGATGTCTCAATTGCATCCATTATAATAGCGGCATTCTGTCTGTCTGTCTGTGTCCAAATCAAAATAATGACGTGTTGACGACAGAATTACCCTTTTTCCACTAATAATTACGTAAACTAACAAATATGGTGCATTTCATTTTCATAACCCAACTAAATTCCAATTGCATATCGTTGATGTCTTTTGTGAATATTTTGCGTGATTAATTAGAAAAATTGGAATTAACTCTGGGAGTTAAACCCCCTTCCGAAACGCTTCATGAAAGAAAGAAATTTCCCAAAAAAAAAATCGTTCAATCACGCGATAGTTGATAAGACTCATGAAACCGTGGGAAGTCACATTTAACCGTATCAAATACCGCCTATACCCTACTTGTGATGTAACATATCAAAATCGAATCGAATCGAAATGTGAATGCCGTTGTTTACCTCCAGAAATGAAATGATCTGAATTTAATTGGTACTTTTCTATTGCGACCCTATAAACAGAAAGACGTGATTATTTCAGGTCAAAAATTGGCAAGACGGGTTCCGTGAGGACTTGTTACATGCTACTGGTAATCAATATAAGATTATCTATTTATTAGTAAAGCTATTGCTTTTGAGCCAGAGGCCTTTAACGATTCAGTAGGATGAGTGGGCGATTTCTAAAAGGCCGAGCACTTCTAAAGACGGCAAAGAGGTCGCTCCCGAATGAATATATCACCGAATCGCTGTCACAACTCTTGGACTGATGCTATGAGAGGTTACTGTAGTTTAATAAACTTGAGTGAACGCGCGGACTATTTATTACCATCTACGGTTTTCGCGATTCACACCTAGATACACCGTGATACACCCTCAGACACAGCCCACTGAGTTTTTCGCCGGACCTTCTCAGTGTTTCCGATCCGGCGGAAGATTCTGCGAAGCACCACTCTTGCTAAGGCTAATGTTAGCAAATTCATCAAGTTGAGCTCCTTGAGCTCACCTACTCGTTCGGTGAATCTAATATAACGTCCGTCTGGTGTAGTGGTAAGTGACATGGTCACTACACTAGGGGGTCGCGGGCTCGAATCCCGCCAAGGGAAGATATTTGTATGATAAATATAAATGTCTTTTCCAGTGTTATGGATGTATATTAAATATATGTATGTGTATAATAAAAATCTTACATTTATTTCCGATATCTGGTACCTGTAACACAAGTTCTTTACGAACTTATCATGGGACCAGTTAACGTGGCGTGATTATAACGTGGCGTGGCGTTATTATTACTAGTCTATACTAGTCAATGTTATTTAATTAATTATTTAATAATTATTAATATTTCAATATTGCGCCAATGCACGAATCAGTCGTTACCGCGGTTGTAGTCGAAGGAGGGCTGGTGGTGGTAGTTGCGCTAAAGGTGCGTAACCTCGAAATTTTTCTCTGAAAAAATTTCTACTATACAACGTTCTTAGAACGCATGTAGCTTTTTGCGAATGAAATGGCACGCTACGTAAAGGAAATGAAAGTCACAGAGCTTGCTGTGTTAATGAAAGGAACACTTGCCAGTCCAGGCAGCGGTAGAACTGAAGTCGGTCTGAACACGTTTGTTTGGATGCAATTAAGTAGCCACTGGACAATGGTGATCACAGTACGGGTGGGTTTTTCACTCACAAAGAGGCAAACTTTCTTAGAACAGGTGGCTCTTGGAACAGGTGATGTTGGAAGTCAACAGGGAAAACTTGAATTAACGATTACTCGTATTGTGACTGCTAATATCATGTTTACTCCCTGTCATACTCAAAATAACATATACTTATTATTAAAAAATAGCTGCCCGAACCGACTACGGAGACGTGCAGCGAGCGATAAAAATTTATCGATTTACATATAATCATAGATATTCATTTTATTTAAAATTATATGAAATAATACAGAACAGTGTATGTTGCATGCTTGATGTTTCCCGTCACTACTACAGCGGTATTCTAAGAACGAAGTATTCGTCATTCGTTCCATCACCTTTGACGGCACAATAAAAACGAGGGTTTTCACAACGACCGGCTCAACGAAGCTGTGATTAAGGTCCTTTATTTTCTTATTCCTTTTGTAGCGAAAGCCGTTTATAAGAATGAGTTTTGTCTTGAAGTAAAATGCTTCATTTCTTTTTATTAGCTCCTGAAGGAAAACGAACTCATTTAATGGTAAGTCGTTACTGTTCCATGTACACACCGATAACACCTATGTGTCCTTCACTATTTTGATTTTCGTATTATTGTAACATTAGTTGTATTGTGTCATTAATGTAGGATAGATCATCACAGTCATTACGAACCCCAAATAAAAAGTATGTAGTGTTTTTATAGCTTCAATAAACGATTAATCTGAAGTTGATAGTGGTTAGCGTAGTTCAAACCATCATAACCATATAATATGTATCATCCTTTTTTGGACTATCATCCTTTTTACACAGCCATGGTGTAAGACTTAAACTCTTTCAGAATTTCGAAATCTTTTTAACAAATTGAATTGATTAAAGGTAGAGTTTCGGACGTTTTAGGTTGTAATTAATCTACACTAATCTTATAAATGTGAAAGTGTGTATGTTTGCTTATTTTTTTACGTCGAAATTAAGCAGCAGATTGACTCTCCCATTCCAAAAAGTAATCTCATTCCCACGGGAAACTACACTTAAGTTCTCCTTGACCGCGCGGGCGAAGCCGCGGGTATCGGCTTGTATGACTAAATGTCTGCTATCTATTTCAATTCGTATTACGTATAATGATGAAATATCGAAAAAGTTAAAATACCCTCAAAAGCTTCCTATATGGCCGGCAACAAGTTTGCCGTTCAAGGTCACCTTGGTGAGTATGGACGCTGATTGCGTTATCTCTCAAATTAATCTATATTCTCCAAACAAGCCAGAAAGCATGATGACTTAGCCTGCCTTTCAAATACGGATTTGGCGGAATCCAACACATATCGCGCCACAACTAATCTGTTTCCCCGAATGCGCCCGTTGTTCTTTTCGCAAGTTCGCTATTTGAAATATTCGCCGGTATCGAATTAATGGGCGTGTACATGCATCACTCACCCATTTTCAACAGGGTGCAACAATTATGTCTTATTTATATGTATTATTTACGACTTTACTTCTCTCATAAAACGATAGAATATATTATTTCCCAGTCATTGTAATGTACTTTAAAAATAATATAGGCAACATATTGTAAGAGAAACAACAGAAACGGGACTCGCCGAAATGTTCCAAGATGTTCAAGAATTGATTTGGTGATCATACAGTAATGCTGATCTCTGTTAATGTTATATCATATGCGTCCAATAGTCTCTATGTGATCATTTGTAGTAAATTTGATCGTGAGGTGGTGCTACTCTAGACAAAATAACATTTACCCCATTTAATTGGGGTTAATTTTAATTTGTACGTGGGTGTTCCCTTAGGAATGTGGTTATTAGATTCACCGAATTGTGGGAAGTAACGATATATCCAGCATGCTGCCCTCGCCAACCGTTCTTTACTGGTTTTAAGGTGTATTGTGAGCACGCACGTCAAGGCACGACTGTCCTGTCTATATCTGCCGCGAAGCATTTTTGTATTCTGGTTTAACCATTCCCCAGTGTCATGTCAAATGTAATTTAAAAGATTTCGACTTCGCTGTGTTCGCTGTGACGGAATCGACACAAGATTTTTTTTTTGTATTGCCCTTGGCTGACGAGCATACGGTCTACCTGATAGTGAGTGGTTACCGTCACCCATATACTTCAGCAATGTCAGGGGCAGAGCCAAGACGCTGCCCGCCATATTGCACCGTAACTGAAACTAAATTGGTAATCACTTCAGGTCATTAAACCAAATAACTAATCGATCACTACAATGTAGCAAAAATACGTATTATATTTTGTACCCTTGTGAATGACAACAAATCTTGCTTCATGTAACTTCATAAGCAATTAGGATTCTAATGTTGCATTCTGAAAAGATTCCACTGCTTATTTAGAAAAAAACATGCACTCGTACAGTAAACATAAATTTATGGGAAAAACCCGCAAGTTTGAAAACCAAACACTATTTACAGTACGTTCAACCGCTGCCGCAAACTCACACCCGTCTACTAAGGGCTCAATTCAACACTATAGCACTAGTGCATGGTTGGGAGCAGCAAGATCAGCTTAGTAGGGAGTGCGGTTCTCAGCTGTGTATTTTGCTTATTAATAACTAGCTACAATAAATTACCATGCACAATAAACAAACCGAAATGTTTTTTTTTTTTTAAATATGTCTACCAATGTACATCAAAAGACAACTTTTAGTATTTTAACTTGAAATTGTTTTTTAAGTTTAGTCATTTTGTCTCTGTCTTGAATTTTCCTTGAACTCTGAAAATATGTACCTTATTTCCATTCAAATCAAAGGTGTCGAAAATCTTTTCGGTCCAAATGGGTAAGCATAAAATCGTGATAGGAAGATTATAACATTAATAAAAAAAAATTTTTTTTTTTTCAATTATTTTATAGAACAAGTTACAGTAGATTATATAAACAATTTTGACTGTAAGCACGTTTTTGTTGCAGTGTTCGGAGTGTAATGCACAAATACATGGAAAAGAAAAACGAAGTGAACTTTGACAAAATATTCAATCAAGTATTAGGTAAGTAGTAATATCTGTTCAATTATAATTCATTGCTTATATAGCAAACCGATTTTATTAATCATTATAAGGCCATCTCATGATAATTATTTAAAGTATATATCATATTTATTGGAGTTATACCAAAGCATATCCTTAGGCTTATCGATAACAAACCGTTAAGATTGAAATTATCGATATTTCCAACGGCACTTTATTGTATGGTGTCAAATAGAAGTAGTTGATAACTTGGGCTTCTACATCAGAGGTAGTAGCAATCCATAAAATTATATCCAGGCTTCACTTTACAAAGATTTTAAGAGCCTAGCTTAAAGTATTATTTCATGATAGTGTTGATATTAGATATCTCTCGAGATATCGAGCTCAATGTTCTCTGGAGCATATGGGCATACAAACTCATGGCCCATTAGGTAATAAGTATTTACCGGAGCCTATATACGCTGACAAAGGGAATGCCGCCTACAATATTGTGGTGTAAGGTCGAAGTTTCAACAGCAGCGTAATACGTCTGCTCTGCCTTTCGGATCGAAACGCACGACTGCTTTGCGGCAAAAATAGGTGGGACGGTGATACTCAATCAATATATGAATTAGATTAATTTTCCTGTATAGGGAACACCACATAGAGAAGGTTTTTCACAGATCGGTGGTTATTACTCGGTAGACCGACGGTCTGAATTTTATCTCTCGAAACTAGTATTACATGCAAGTTTATCTTGAGAAGCACAATTCAGGTTTTTTACGTATCTCTTAGATACCATGGTATGTGTTGTTACACCAGCACATAAAAAAGGACGAAAGAATATAGCATCAGATAAATTGCTAAGCTCCCACGTTTTGTTTTATCACTGAAAAAAAAGAGCGTTCGGAATTCGCAACGATAATATCTACAAAATAACGCTTTCATGAGTTTGTTCTCAGGTAAACACGGTCTTGTGTAAACACGAAGGTCTTTGAATCGTTTCATCTTGAACGATTTACGCCAAAGCTTTCACAATTTCTCCACTGACTGAATAAGCACTTACTTCGTTCACCCTTACATTGGCAATTATGTTTTACTTTCGCTATTTTTATTTGTAAAAGAAAAATCCTGACTAATCTTGACCAAAAAGTTCACTGACATTTGTAGTTAGGCGATAACTAAGCGAAGTGAACGCAAAACGGTTCTATATCTTTAGCCTCCTAAACGTATATCTTGAAGGCAAGATTACGAAATTAAAATTATACAAATACAATTCAAAAGATCGAACCATTATTGAGGCCTATATTATTTAAACAAATCGTACCGCCCTTTTTTTTTCAATTGCATACAGCTTTGTTATTGTGTTATATGTATTTAGAAAAAATAGTAAGTACATCTATATTATAATATTCTGTGATTTCTTAGTTCGTGGAGCACTATGTGGACATTGTATTAGGATTTTTTACTGATAGCTTTATCTGGCAATTTTATAAGTTATGATGTCGCTTAAGGACTTAACATTCACGTAAACTATTAATAGTACCCACGTAAGAAAAATCGTTGTGTGAAAAAACATGCTCTTGAAAATGCATCTAAAAGCAGATGTTCTATTAAAAACCAAATTTCTTTAATAAAGGCTATAGAAAATTCGCTTACGAAACTAAGAACTCGTTTTACCATTATTATTATTATTCGTAAATTTGCATCAGGTTCGAGATCGAAACATCGCATCGACATCTATACAGCACAATACGATGCAGATAAATAAATAAAAGGATAAGTGTCGCGTCATTGTCGTGAGGCCGGGCTTTGTGCCTTGAGGATGCAGTAAAAGTCTGTATGCATCACGCTCGAGAGCAAAAGATCACACTGATATTTGTAGAATATAATACAAAACCGACAAACCGCGGCGCCGCTGCCGTGATGACTTAGTTCAGCTCTTAGGGCTTTCTCACTTGAAATCAGCTCCGGGAAATTTATGACGTCTTTTTCGAGATTCGCTCGTCCCGCCGTGCTCCGAGGATATGTAAAATACTTTTTTTTTCGTACCTAAGCTGAGAGCCTAGAGAGGCTATATCAGCGTAACCTTAACTAGTAGGTGAGCTCACGGGGCTCAAACCTAACGACGTTGCTAACACGAACCCTAGCAAGAGCCGTGCTTCGCAGAATCTACCACCGGATCGGAACTGCTACCCACTGAGAAGATCTGGCGAGAAACTCAGTGGGCTGTGTCTGAGGGTTAATTTACTCGTTGAGCCCTTCGTCGCAAGCGACGGGTTCGACGAGAACGATGACCGGGTGTAAAATACTACTAAAATGATATGAATATGAATAGTGGAAGGAAAAACATACGGTAGTGCGTTACTTCATACATTTCCGTAATTAGACTTTTGAGTTACTGCTACAAAAGCTACACACAGCGCATACGTCAATGCATAAATTATTCTTGCATAAATTAAATCTAAAATAATCCTACAGGAAATGTTAGTTTAGTTGTCTCTAGCTATACGTCCTAGCGTTACGACACTGCCGATATCGCATACTTTTCTAGGACATTGAAGATTTTTAAAAAATTGGTTTCGGTTGCAAATATTGATTTTATGTTAATTTTTGACTAAAATAGTTGTTCTGATTTGGAATAGTTCCAAGTCAAAACATTTGCGATTATATATTAAAATTTGAGCAAGACAGGCACCGGAGTCAGTAAGAGTGAGCATGGCTAATAGATAGACGACTATTTCTGATTGAAAAAATAATGTTTTTTTTTTTATTTATTTTTTCGCTACTAATAGACATACTTCAAACTAAAAATCAAAGTTTCGCGGTTAAGTCTCACGTTTAGTATTTTTATTTATTTATTTCGATATTTTCAAATACACCATAGTTTTCGTGCCTGCCTAATTAGTAACATCTGAATACTGTACTAAAAACCTAAATAAATAATGCAAAAATAAACCTAAAAAGCAGTTTTTTTTCAAACCATTTTATGTATATGTGTATTTATTAAGTACTTGAGTACCTACGTACATATTTATAATATGTGAGCCAAATTTTCTTCCATGTTAGAGGAAATAAGGAAAAAACTGTCCCTGTTTAAAGATAGACTTCCTAATGATTGTTTAAAGTAGTCGAGCTTAAAATTTGCTGACGTCAAACTTAACATACGGACGACCAGTGACCGTGTGACGGAGGGGTGAAGGTCTAAAAAATTAACTGAAGCTGATTTCCCAGACGCACAAAATTTTATACATTTTTATATGTAGGTTTTATTTTTATTTTTTATTTCTTAGATGGGTGGACGAGCTCACAGCCCACCTGGAGCTATGTGGTTACTGGAGCCCGTAGACATTACAACGTAAATGCCGCCACTCACCTTGAGATATGCGTTCTAAGGTGTCAGTATAGTTACGACGGCTGCCCCACCCTTCAAACCGAAACGCGTTACTGCTTCGCGGCAGAAATAGGCAGGGTGGTGGTACCTACCCGTGCGGACTCACAAGAGGTCATTCCACCAGTAATAGTCCTACCATCAGTACTTTGGGAACGACTTTCGACCTTGCTGGAACAAATACGCACTATATATTTTTTTATTTTTTTTTTGACTGATGCCATGACAGCCAATTCGTCTCATAATAAAATGTTTCATTCGTTACTATAGCAAATACGGCAAAATGTTTCAAATGCCAACGGCCTGAAACGTCCTGTATACAAATATGCCGTTAACAATGTCAATTAATAATAAACTAGCAGACAAATTTTAGGATAACATTCGCGGGGTCAATAACTTACGACTAACATTTTTTAACATTTAACATTTTTAAAAACAGCATGTAGTTATTTTTTGTAGTCTTGATTTCGATTATAAACTGTGTCAACTATAATTATCCGCAAAAGTTAGCTATATCAGGGTTAATTACAATTTAAGCTTATCAATAAGTAAAGTAAAAACTGCTGACTTCCAACCTTACGGATCTATTGAGAATTACGGAGAGGAAAATCATTGAATTGGACTCTGTGGTAATCACGCAATAACTAGGCCGGTGTGATAGTGTGGTGTTGTTAAACCAATGCCAGATTCTCGGATTAATATACAAAAATAATGCATGCAATAAATGTTCAATGATTCATCTAATGGAATTCCAGAAACGTTAAAGGTGTTTATTTCAACAACAATGTAGATATTAATTACCATTGTATATCGTATAATGCGAACTAATTATATTGACTACGGAGTCGCTAACTCGACCGTAGATACGTTATGGTGTGATCATAGTGTCCGAATTTAAATATTCAGTCCCATAATGAACACAACTCTGTGATGAATGCTCACGTTTATTGAGATAAAGCACGGGGAAATGCTCTTATCTTAGCTTTATATCATTATACCTTCCGTACAAAGGAACAATACGTTTCAGTATTCCTTTTCACAAACGTGCAAGCACGTTTCGCGTTTATTTATCTTGTGGTAACGAATGAATAAACTAACACTTTGAAATACAGCTTTGCAGAATGCTGTGCAGCCATGCATTTCTCTGAATAACTTGCAAACGGAGTAAAGCTCCATCTTTTGGTTTGGTATTTTCTGAGATAGTGTTGTGCGTCGCATTCGTAGCGAAATCGATAACTGTATTGTACACATACATACTCGTATAAATAATAGGTTTTTTGGTTGCTTTAGCTATGAAGCTACATTACCGGTCATTTGAAACGTTATTTATGCTTAACTGGCACTTAATTCTAAATTCTATACGGATTTTAGATTAATAATATGAAATTCTGTTTTCTGTCATTTTTTTATTGACTAGGGTATTGTTATCACTACATTTGTACCTTTTTCATCAATATGGACACGTTAAAAACACGAGTACTTATGGAATACGAGCACCATCGCGGTAGCAATGCCTCACAAACTGCTTACAACATTAATGACGTGTACGAAGTGAACACTACAAACGAATAAACAAATTGATTTGAAAGCTTCCGACATGGAAATTTTGAAGATCTGTCAAGGTAGCAGTGTCAAATCAGCAAAATTCAAT